AGCTTGCCCAGCATACACCAGATCCTGGATTCCATCCCTGGCACTGGGGAAAAATGCCTAAGGTAAATCATAGGGCCACTAAGAATATTGTAGAAAATTATTCTCAGGCTATGTATGATACATTATGAAACATAAGTGAATTTCGTATTTAGACAGGGTCCAAGTTGCTGAGGCTGGCCTCAATACTTTTTTTTTTTTTTTGGTACCAGGGATTGAACCAAGTGGTGTTTAACCACTGAGCCACATCCTCAGCCCTTTTTTATTAGACAGGGTCTGAGTTGCTGAGGCTGGCTTTGAACTCCTCCTCCTGCCTCAGACTCTCCTGAGTCGCTGGGATTACAGGTGTGTGCCATCATACCTGGATGGCCTTTGACAACTTTTTTTTTTTTTTTTGTATCAGCGACTGAACTCCAGCACTTAACCTCTGAGCCACATCCCCAGCCCTGTTTTTGTTTGAGACAGGGTCTCACGGAATTGCTTAGTGCATGGCCATTGCTGAGGCTGGCTTTGAACTCCTGTCTCAGCCTCACAAGCCCCTGGGATTACAGGGGTGTGCCACCACATCTGGCTGCCAGCAAAGCTTTTGATCCACCTGTTCAGCTTCCCAAATCACTGGGATTACAGTGTGTACCCCCATGCCTGTCCTGCTGTTGAAAATTATCAATAAAATTAGATAAAAAATTGGGATATTTCTTTAGCGGTACTCTTTGAAGTAAACCAACTTTAGGGAAACACCAACAGATGTCTGGAGAAGTCCCAGTTCCCTGAAACATGACAAGTTACTTTTTAGATACCAAGAGCAGATGGCATGTTGAGAAATGTTTCCCTCCTATTACTTGCCTCAAAATATGTAACCTGGCTTTTATTTCAGATCTGAAAGAACTCTTGAGACACCCAACTTTTAAACTTGGTTTTAGAAGAAAGGACTAGGTCAGCAATTAGATCACAACTCAATCTCAGAACTGCTTAGGTAGGAATACACTTTGATCAACCAAAACATGGCAGAGTTCCCTTAAAAAAATTTCCTTCAATGGGGTGTTGAGGTCCTGGGTCTGATCCCTAGACTTGTGGAGTGGAAGGCGGAGAATTCCCTTCTGAACTTAGAAGTCTTAATAAATAAAAGGAAAACCCAAATTTAATTTATAAAGTTTTATTTTTGTATATGTGCTAAATCTTAGGAACTGTGGACAATCTTTATGTCAGTCTGTTGGTTTGTAAAAGGCTAGGAATTTTGAGTTGGGTGGTGAAATTTCCTTTTGGGAATCTGGATTTCAAAATAAAAATTTGCACTCACGCGTGACTTTAAAATGTGGTGTACCTCTCTCCCCACCTTTTCTTACACCTATCAATTTGGAGGAAAAGTGCTACATTTCTGCAAGCATGAAATAACTGTTATAAATACAATTGGCAGTTAAGTTCTTAATACATTTAGCACTTCTTGTAGTGATTCATCACACCCAAAACCTTGTTTTCAAATGGTAAAACACGGAGGTGTAGGACCAATTCTGGTTGAGCCCTACTGCGAAATCAGTACTGTTCTTTTTCTTGGTAACACAAAGCGGGGGAGTGGGTGTTGTCTTCCTATATCGGCAGCATGTATGTTGTACCTTTAAACTGGAGGCCAAAAGTGGGCACTTAAAATGAAAAGGCAATTTTCTTATCCAGTTATAATTCTAAATAAGGCAGGATATAGCCACCAAATTAACCACAAAATCCGGCAAAGTAAAACAGTTCATGGGAGAACGTAAGCTGCAAAAATACTAATAAAAAACTCAAAACTATTCTGAATTCATCTGAATTATCACAAACTGTGGTTTTCATTTACAAACAATTCAAATAAAAAAGGCTCATCGCTTGAACCACTGAGAGGATTAAAGACTTATCATTCACTAATAAAAGTTAATCATGAAAAAAATAGAAAACACTTTAATAATTCTAAGTTTGTATACATCATAACTAAAAGACGAAAGGCTGGGAAATGATGACCGAGAAAAATTCAACAAAAAGAAAAGTCCCCAAATATGATTGTTATTTCTGCCTCTACCATGTTGAACATGAAAATTTTGGTTGGTGGAGGGCTTAGAAACAGCAGCAATACGGTTCTTACCAAGTTGTACACTGAAATACTTAGATCCAGCAGGGCAAACTCCTAGTTCACACAGTTTTACAACTAAAACATCTTCAGTCTTTACGTTAACAGATTCTACTGTCTTCTATGCGAGCAATCATGCCATTTTGAGTTCCAGGAATATCTCTTTTGAAGGAAGACTAGTGATTCTGCAAGAAACATTTAAAGTAGGACGTATATGGCTCAAAAAAATCATCTGAGGGAGAATTAAATAACCTTTAGGCACTTTTGAAAACTTGAAATTGAAAATGTGCCGTGTGTGTTCAGAAAAAGACCTCAGAAATCACCACTATGGTTGCTCTTACGATAACATGCATCTTAAAATTTGCCGTTCTACACTAATACTTAAGAGGTAAATACAGAAAATAACTTGCACAAACAAAAATAACTGTTCGCTCTCCCTCACTCCTGGTCACAAAACAGGCCATTCTTCCTCGGAGAGAGGGGAAAATGATTCTCAAGCCCTCACCTGGCACCACGTGGGGGGAGCGGCTTGTAAATTCAAAGCAAAGTTGGGATCTCCCTCCAGAGAGAAAAATTCACAGCCTTTTAAAATGTCAAGTTTTTTCTCATCTAGGAAGTCATTACATTTTAAATTAAGCCCATTACATACTTTTGTTAAGGACCAGGAAATTTTAAAATCACATCTCAGATGGTGAGATGGTATCATTAACAATAATAGGAACTTTTCCAAATAAAGTTAACCTACTTTGCTAGTTGAGAAAGCTTGTGACTAACTTTTAAGTTAAACTACCAACTGGAATCGCAAACACTGTACAACCCTTGCTCAAACAAATTCAGGCTGGGGATGTAGCTCAAAGGTAGAGCATTTGCCTAGTATGCGTGAGGCCCAGGGTTCCATCCCCAGCTCTGCAAACTACAGAAGAAAAAACACAAACTTAAATTCAGATGTAACATACTTAAAGTAAAAACAAACTATCTGCTGTCAAAATTTCCTAATACTACAGAAAAACCTAGAAGCACAGATTTACTAGAGTACTGCAAATAAGATACCCAAAGCTTTATCTTAAATACCTGCCCCTTTTAATCACAAAATAATGCAATGCTGTTTGTTTCTGCTTTGTTCAGTTCCAACTATTGCCTTTTGACAAAACTTTTTCCCATTAACTGAATTGTAAAAAATACAACCTAGTTTGTGCTCATTAAATATACATGTATATAAAAAACATACAAAAAGTACAAGATTGATTGTTAGGAAACTTCTACAGTGTCAACATTCTGTTTTCTCGAAGTATTTAATTTTGGGGGACTGGGGACTGAACCCGGGGGCACTCTACCGCTGAGCTGCATCCCCAGCCCTTTTGATTTTTTAATTTGGAGACAGAGTCTCGCTAAATTTTCCAGGCTGGCCTCCAGCTTGAGCTTGCGATTCTCTCGCCTCAGCCTCCCGAGTAGCTGGGATTACAGGCGCGCCACTGCTCCTGGCTCTCTGCAGTCTTTAGTAAAGGGCCAAAGGTCAGATATTTCTGTGCACAAAAATGTTAACTGAAATCCTGAATTAAGTGCCATGGCTATGCATGCTATGCACAGAATTTTAATATGCAGTCCTTAAAAAAACAAAACCAAAACCAAAAACAGGACCAAAAAAGTAACCAAAAAGCCAAAAACACACCACAGGACAAAAAGTTCTTCTTAAATCAAATTCTATTTGTGAATTCAGCAAAATAATTTCTATAAAATAAAACAGCAAAATATTTAAATAGAATAGGGTGGGCTGTATCTGTTTGCAGGGGTATTTGGTTTTTAGACAGGTTCCAAAAAAATTACACACATTCAAGTCACCAATTCTCTTTTAAATACAGTATTAACCGATGAGTTCCTTACTTTAATCAAATGTTTATTCTGAAATTGTGATACTTCAATTATATTAACTAACCAGTAGTTTCTTTTTAAATTAGACCCTGCTTTGAACGTTAATATTTTTGGAATAATGGAAAATGAGCTAGGACAATTCTTGCTTTCAAGTAAAATTGTGACTGAGCAGAAAAATCAGTCAGACATCTTGATGCAGAGGTACTCCAAGTACTGTGGGATTCTGATGACTTCCACATTACTGGGATCCAGAAGAAAGGTTTTAGAAGACTCACCTAATAATCTCTACCAAAGAAACAAAAACAAGCATACCAAATACAGTCTTCTATTATGCTCCAGCATCCTGGCATAGCAAATTTTTGCATATTAAAAAAAAAAATCTTTTAAAATTCCCATTACTGATACTTAAGTTTTCTTTATCCCACCCAAAGACTGAACTGTCAAATATGAGAAAGAACATAAGTGCAACTGAAAACTGCCTGTCACATTTCTCCCCTCGCTTTTTATATTCTAGGTGTAAGAAGGAAAAGCTCTGAGCAACACAGCTGTCACTTCCAGACAACTGCAGTCGTTATGGTAGTTTTTTCCTCATTGGCTACACTAACGTGGTGTGAAGCCATGCTAAATGTTACAGCATAATTATAGCCTCAAAGTGATTAACCTAATATCAGAATAAAAAGGCAATGAAAAAGACCTAGAAACAATGTTACATCACCAATTTTCCACATCAACCAAATAATTTAAAGGTTACCAGCCTTACATTGCTCATAGTTAAAATTGACTTCAGTGGCAAAGAATTAACATGAAACTATTGGTGTTGCTGACATGAATGGGCTGTTTTGTTGCTGTTGGTTTATTTTTTGTTTTTGTAAAGGAGTTGATCCAACTGCCAAGAGGCAGGCAACACTGGTTGCAAAGTGCAGTGGGTATAACAAGAAAATTAACTTTTGTAGTAGTTTTTGTAGATCTGTGAGTCCCATCAAGAAAAAAGTTTCTTGCTTAAGAATTAACAGTCAAACATTAATATACTATATACACCTTTGCCATTTACACATTAGCATCAGGCCATTTATTACAAAACACTATACACTTTCCACTGCAGGCGGGTTATATATTGACAGCAAATTTCTGCAGATAAGACAGTGAATAAACTCTCCACTCCATGTTGATTAGGAATAGTTTTCTAGTTTTAAATATTAGCCAGACACAGAAAAAGGTTGGACTGTAAGGCCTGGGTGCACAGTCTTGATGGAACCAGTTAATTATGTGCATTTCACTGATCCTTGGTCTGAGGTGGGGATACTTCTTCACTGCCTTCGTAGTTTTCTTGTGCTCGTTGGCCAGTTCTCTGAGGGTTGTTCATGTGGTGTGCTGCTGGGCCTGTATATGGCTGTCCATGCACATGGTTATTCTGGGAGGGGAGAGGAGATGTGCGTGTTAAAATTTTCCCCAGGCTAAACAAATTTTAAAATCACAAGCTCAAGTTTGTGAAAATGTAAAGATTTCTTTCATTTCTGAGACTTATCCTTTAAATACACTTAAGACTAATAGTGAAAAAATTAACCCGTTTGAAAGAAAAAAAGCTAGTGTAAGTACAAAGCACAAGGCCCCCTCAAAAGAGTGATGATTGTGTAGCTCTGTATAAATCTTTGACCAAAGTTATTTTTACTTGTCTAAGTTGCCCAAGCTGGCCTCAAACTTGAGATCCTCCTGCCTCAGTCTCCCAAGATGCTGGGATTATAGGAAAGCACCACTACACCCAGCCCAAAGTGACTTTTAGTGTGAAACACATGACTGCCCATGATATGAGATCTGCAGGCGCAATAACCACGAACACAAAACAATGTTAGTGAGAACCAAACAATGTTGAAGAAGATAATAAAGCAACCAAGCGTGCTTAATATGAGCATTCTCAGGGTCAAGCAAGTAATTTTCTCCTGTGGATTTGGTTAATCTTTTGAAATGCCAGAACCCTATAGGCACTCGTTCTCCTATATATCCCCACCAGCCAAGCCAAGATTTTAAGCTTTATTTTCTATACATTTGCAATACAAAAATAATTGTGTTGAATATGCACTTCTTAACTATTCGGCATGCTTCTATTTATACCTTGAAGCCTAAGAAAGAATGACTTACATGTGTCTCAAACAGTTTTTTAGACCAGCAGTGGGGAACAGCACACTGTAGGGGGAGGAGACCTGAGGCTCTGGGCAGGGTCTAGCACCCTGTCCTCTAACAAGCCCTCTAGGAGACTCTAATACCTGTTCAAGTACCACTGTCCATCGCCCACTGGAAAACTGCCAAATCCTTATTTTTTTTTTCCTCAACAATTCCCACTCACTGAAATCTAGGGTTAAGTAACCAAGGATCCCTTACTTCATCACCATACCTGAATCAGAATCCATTTGCAGACTTAGCCTAACAGGAAATATCGTTCTAATCCTTTGCACTAAGCAATGGTTATCATTTTATGTTGACATGAATGAATACACAGATTTACCAAGTAAATTACCAGTATCAGAAGGACACCTATGTGATGAGGAATCTACCACAGGGGCCAGTTGAAATGGGCACCATGATCCCACTCTCACCATTTCTCTTCTAATCATGTCCCCTAGACAATCCCTCCATGACTTCAGTCATAAAAGATTTGGCCACTATTTAAGCCTAAGAATTGGTTCTAGAGACTAAAACCAATATCTGACTCCTGTTTACCTGTTGATACTGAGATCCAGGTGAATGGGGGTATAATGGGGCATCTTCAGGGGGAGGTGACTCATGCTCATCTGGGGCATCTTGGTCATCTGGTTCCTAATTTAAAAAAAAAAAAAGAAATTATAAAGGCAAATTCAAGCTCATTTTTAACCTTTTCTATTTTAACTAAAATTTACGTATTTGTTTTTGTGGTATTGGGGATTGAACCCAGGAGCACTCTAGCCCAGAGCCACATCACCAGTCCTATTTATTTTGAGATAGTGTCTTGCTAAATTGCTGAGGCTGGCCTCAAACTTGCAACACTCCTGTCTCAGCCTCCTAAGTAGCCAGGATTACAGGTGTGCCTCACTTCGTCCAGAATATTTTTTTTGTTTGGTTTTATGGTGCTGAGGATCAAACCCAGGGCCTTGTGTATACTAGGTAAGCACTCTACCACTGAGCTACATACATCCCCAGCCCTGAAATAAAATTTTAAAACCTACAAAACTAACCCATTAACAACTTCTTTTACTGCAGATAAACAAAGGAACTGGAATCAACACAACATACAGTAACAAACAAAAACTTCAATATAACTTTTTTTTTTTTTTTTTTTAAGCACTACTGCTAATACATAAACACTGGCCTATAAAGTAAAGAATTACTTTGCTTTCTTCCATTTCTATCTGCTGCATACTGGTGGCTTTTTTTACCTCCTCTGGACAGAGTTCACAAGCTTTTGCAAGTGTCATCCTAGCGCTATGTGATCTCTCCAAGAAATAGCCATTTGATGTTTCATTGCTTTGTACTGGGGGAGACCAATTGTTGTAAGTGTACTGAGGATTGCCAGTATATGGTCTTCTTTCAAGTTCGTCTCCAAGCCATTCCACTGCCCAGGTCCACTTTCTTTTCAGATCGCCATTACCCTTCAAAAGAAAATAAAAACCACATATGTAAGAGGACTTGGAACACTTCAAACTTTAACAAACAAACAAAAAACCCTAAATTCTCAGGACTCTCTTCTTTAAGATAGAATCCTTAATTCTGATTCAGATCTCTACAGAAAAATAAAAAATCTTCACCTGTAGGATTTGGTAAGCAACAGGACAATTGCTGAAGAGAGCTACCATACATTTTATACATTGGTAAGCTCTTTTCTGATAGTGATTCTTAGAGCGCTGGATTGTGTCAAACAGCCCATCTCGGTCATCTGGAATTCCCTTAAGGGCATTATGAATTCTGAAAGAGAAGCAGAATATAAGATTAAAACTTCTAAAATCTAATATAGCAGCTTATATTTATTGCCTATTACATACCACATATTTAATGTCTGATCTAGTCATTTAATCTAATGCTAGACTATAGGTATTGTTATTACGCCCATGAACAGATGAGAAAATGTATCAAATAATTTGTCCAGGCTAGCACCAAACTTGTGGTCCTCCTGCCTCAGCCTACCAAATAGCTATAGGATTATAGCTATATGCTACCATGCTTGGCTTGCAAGCTCAATGTTAGTCAATAATGTATGTTATACTGATAGGTGGATAAAAATGTAAACAGAGGTTCAAAGAAACCAATTTCCTAGCAGGAGTAACAGTTTATTATTTACTACCTCAGTGTCCACAACGACTTTATAGACTGCTGAGGACTACTTTTAAGTAACCAAATATTTCAAGCAACTAATTCTAAAACTAATGTGAACTAATCCTAAAAAACTTCAAGGGAATCATCAATGAACTTAAATATTTACCAAATGCTTATGCTGGAGGGAGGAAGAGAAGCATAGGGCAGTAATATTGGTCAAATTACTCTATTATGTGCATGTATAAATATGTAACAATAAATCCCATCAGTATGCATGACTATAATTTAAAAATTTGATTCAAAGAAATGATGTTAGAATGTTAAGTATGAAACTCAGGCAACGAGAAGAAAAACAAAATAAAAACCAACCAAACAAACAAAAAAACAACAACAAAAAACAAAATAAAAATATCATGCTGGGGGCAAGCACTATCACTGAACCACACCCCCAGCCCTTTTTAAAAATCTGAGACAGGATCTCACTAAATTGCCTAGGTTGGCCTTAGCCTCCTGAGTAGCTGGGATTATAGGTGCATGCCAATACACCTAGCTGTTTTTGAGTTTTTTAAGATAAAATATTCACTAGGACTCTAAAGTGGTGACTATTGCAATTATGTCTAACACCTAGGCACATATAAGTAGTCCAGTAACGAAAACAAGTATCCACCTGTGAGTCTGCCAGGAGTCCTCAATCAGTAAGATTTGTAGAAGGAGATCCAAATAAGGCCGAAGTTCATAGGTGTAGGAATATGCAACCTAAAAACAGGCCAGAGAGAGTGAACAACTTAAAGGAATAACAAATCAAATCACAGAGATTTATCAATGTTTATATGTTCCTTTAACCTGCCAGAGAAGTTCACTGAGGACAGTAGATGAGAACTGAGGATTCTCCCAGCAGCAAAAACGAAGCAATTTGACAGTTTCCTCTGAGTTACTGCAGTCTTCAATGATTTTCTTCACATAACTTGTTCTCACAAATAAAATGTCTGCCACATTCTGCTGAATTGGCATTATAGGTTGTGATAAATTGGGATCACCAAACGGATTGGGAAGAGGAGGATTACCTGGAATGTAGATTTGGCAATGAACAACTAATAAACTTTTCTGTAATAACAATACACTGATTTCACCATAAAGGTAGCCTGTGAATTTATTTTTGAAAAATAACTTCATAAATCATGTTTCTTAAGCACAATGAATATTATGTTACCATGATTAGATATCCCAAGATGACATAATGCAAAAAGTTAACTCTTTAAGTATGCCATAAACAAAGTGTCAACTTGAGTAGCAAGCAGACAGAAAAGAATTCCCTGTTAAACATGTGAAAAAGGTATAAGCACTCAAAAATATTTCCAAACATGGACCTTCCTCCAGACTCTTATTTTGTATTTAAACATTTTCAGAATTAACATTTGATCAAGTGCTATATAGCCCAGGAATATTTCAAAATTATTGGGAAGAATGAGGCTTTCTACTTTACCATTTATTGAAGACTGCATCCTTGATGAGACATTGCAACAGCGGATCAGCTGTGACACTACTGAGTATAATTTGCCTAATTCAGCATACTGATATTTGATTGGAGGACCTGGCCCTTCATCTAAAGACACAAGCATAAAGGTAGCAGGTACACTTAGTTTGAGCAGCTGTGTCTTTTCTGCCACACCTACAGTGAAAGAGACGGTAGAAGGAAGAGAGGAAGAAAAGCATTAGGATAAGGGCTTTGTGAATAAAAAAGATAGTATTCAATAGGTCTATCAAATTCTTATGTCAGAAGTGTATTACATTTCCTTAGCATTCAGACTTAAATTGGGATAGAAAATTCACAGATTAGGTATAATTAGACTTAAATATTAAAATTGATAAACAGCAACCATGACTATAACCTTCTGGTTATACTGGGCTATGTGGAACATGAACTTTCTGGGGCCTGGAGAGCCCAAAAGGACTGACGAAGATGGCAACCTTTATCATAGGGATGATAACTATTAAATGGAGAAATAAGAACTTTTTATAAATTGCCTCTCCTCTTTCCTCTGCAAACTTCCTGAAAAAGATGCTTATATTTGGTTTACTTTCTCATTTTCTCACTCCTCAAAATTCATGCCAATTTGGTTTCTATTTCCCTTCATGAGGTAAAGGAACAGAGCAGTTTTCAAACTGTAACTACTTCCTTCTTAGATTCTTAACTACCTTTTTCCTGCTCCCATCTTTTATTCTTTTCTTTTTTTGCAATACTGGCTATTGAACCCAGGTGCGCTCTATTACTGATGTACATCCCTGGCTTTTTCTTTTTCTTTTTGGGGGGGACCAGGGATTGAACCTAGGGGTGCTTAACACTGAGCCACATCCCTAGCCCTTTTTATTTTGACACGGGGTCTCAAACAAGTTTCTTGGGGCCTTGCTAAATTGCTGAGGCTGGCTTTGAACTTGCAATCCTCCTGCCTCAGCCTCCTGAGCCGCTGGGGTTATAGGTGGGCGCCATGGTGCACGGCATCCCTGGCTCTTTTTTTGAGACAGAGTCTCACTAAATTGCTCAGGCAACTGGGTGTCACACAGGCGCAAACTGAATCTGCCCAAACTGAAATCATCCTCTTCCCCCATGCTTTTCCTCTGGAGTTTCCCCAACTCAGTGGCACTATTATCTTTCGAGTTGGTCAAACTGGAATCCTGGGCATCATTCTTTGTTTTTTTTATTTATTTTTATATGGTGCGGAGGATCTAACCCAGGGCCTCTCATGTGCTAGGCGAGTGCTGTACTGCTGAGCCACAACCCCAGCCCCTGGGCATCATTGTTAACATCTATTTCATGCTCCCTCCCCTGAATATCCAATCACAAAATGCCACAGACTCTCTTTATCAAGTACTAGAATCTACTTGTATTCCTCTCAATGCTACTTCTGCAGTATAGGCCAGAATGATCTTTTGTCTACAGTTCATTTTAACCACCTCTAGTCCTACTCTATTGTAGATCTTTCTAGAAGGCATGTCTGTTCAGAGACCCACAACAGCTCATCATCAATGCTTCAAAATATAAGCCAGACCTCTTTCACAAGGCTTGCCAGAATAACATGAACAGGGACTCCTGTTCACCACTTCTGCCAATACTATATCAATTCTAAATAGACTGAACAACTGTCATTGGACAACGAGCAACACCAAGTTAATTCCACTTATTTGTATTTGCTGTTCACCCTGCATGGAAAACTCAGGTAAGGAATTCCCATGTCAACTTCCCCATTAAATCTTCTACCCCAAAGATGCACATCCATAGTACTTTATATTTTCCCTATTATAACCATGAACATATTTAACTTAATGGCAACTACATTTTGGTTTGCTTCCATATCCTATTAAGACAGTAGACTATTTTAACACAATAAATTCACATCTATAACCCTTATCTGAAATCCTGAGAAAAGTTCTTATTATAATCAAATTTCTTTCATAAAGTTGGTATCAAAAATATGTATTTGGTAGGAAAACCTAGCCTGAACTGAAAACAGGCTATTTTCAGTCTTCCCGCTCCCGTCCCCATTTATTTATTTTTAAATATATTTTCAGTTGTAGATGGACACAATACCTTTATTTTGCTTATTTTTATGTGGTGCTGAGATCCAACCCAGTGCCTCATGCATGCTCGGCAAGCGCTCTACCACAGAGCCACAACCCTGGCCCCCGTTTACGTTTTAATAAACATACAACTCTCATTTACATTTTACTCCAGGAATATTAATGTGTTTAGTTATAAGGAGCTGTTTAGACTCAGATACATTATATATGGCATATGCACTGCCTTATTTTTCTTAAACCCAAGCAATTTTGAATCACATAAAAATATATTTTTTTAATTTTTTGGTTGTAGATGGACACAATACTTATATTTACTTATCTTTATATGGTGCTAAGGATCAAACCCAGGGTCTCACATATGCTAGGCGAGTGCACTACCACTAAGCCACAATCCAATCCCAGCATATCTGTTCTTAAGGGCTTCATATTGAGGCTTATAGACCTGTATTTGCCTTTAGCAGGGAAATTTTATTAGTGAACAATGATATGTGCTTTATGAATATGCAATATCTAAAGGGGAAGTTGAATAGAATAATATTTTTGTGAATGCCTAAATTTGGAATTTCTAAGTTTGAAATACAGATTCTAGTTAGTGTTTGTGTAATATATTTCCTCTTCTTTCTCAACTACAAATACCAAATGCCTCTGGTATGGAAAGGTAAGGGAAAAGATGATCAACTACAGAGACAAACGGAAAGTAAAATGTTCCTGATGTTAAAAGGGCCATGTATCAGCAGAGCGAGCTCATACAGAAAACACGGGAAATGACAGGGATGCTTGGGTACAGAACTTAATTTTGGATAGATCAGTTCCTAAACTGGCCAAATAAATATTATCATCTCATTAGTAATTTTCATAATTTCAATCATAATCATAAGAAATTTACCTACCCTAGGCCAAAACAGAACACCCGCCCCAAATAACAATGAAAATATATTCTATGATATTCCTCACCACCCATCCATTCAGCAAACAAACATTTACCAAGGGCTATTGTGCAATCTAGTGGGGGAGCAACAGAAAAATTTGGTTGCTATCAAAATACAATAGAAAAAGTAGAACCAAGTATAGCATAAATTTTTAGGTAAATTTCAGTAACCAATGAAAAGAAATGATATAGTGATGTCAGAGTAGGCTACTTTGAAAAGGACAGCTGTCATATAGTGGCAACAATAGAATAATTTAAGCAAATTCCTAAGTTTTTCTTGTGGTGCTGGAGTGGAACCCTGGGCCTCATGTAGGCTAGGCAAGAGTATTTCTATACCACTGAGCTACATCCAGTCCCTTAAATGAGGCAAGAAGGGAATTTTATATTTATATGAAATATATAAATAATAAATAAATAAACAAAAATCCAGGGGTCACTCTAACATTGAATTACATCCCCAGTCATTTAAAAAAATCTTTTTTAAAATTTGAGACAGACTTTTTGCTAAGTAACTGAGGCTGGCCTCGAACTTGTGATCTTCCTGAGTGCTTCCTGGGATTACAGGTGTGCATCACCACATCCAGCTAAGTGAATATTTATACTATCCCTCATTTTAATTTTGTTTACTTCAAGAAAAAGTTATATGTAGACCTCTATTCAAAACTTGGGAAGTACTACAATCATCTAGGGACCTTTATAAAATATAGATTCCATAAATTAACTTTGGGAATTCTGATTCAATCAGTGTGAGATTGGGGCCTAGAAATGAGTATGTTCAAAAAGCAGCCGAATCTGGCAGTGTTTTAGGAGACAAAATGTGACGACATAAGATTCTCATCTGTGTCTAATGCAGAGCAGTAACACATGAATTACTATAAAGTATAAGGTTTCCTGTACAAAATTTCTATGTTAAACTAGGTTATATGTGATCAATTGACCTAAACGATTTCACCATATAACATACAGATTATGAAAACCTAAATTCTTACCTAAATTGGCATACATTACAAACAAGTTGAAATACTGCTGTAAATGACGTCCATGCTCTGAAACTTCCCTTCTCAAGAGATTTAGTACTGCTCGTAGTAAGTGATCGCTCAAGCTTAAGTTGTCATAAGCCTGTAAAATATAAAACAGTAGCTGTTTCTCAGCAACAACGTGCAGGTATAACTCTCTTCACACAAGCATAAATTTATGGAAGAACTGATTACACAAACTATTTGAAAGGGTTGATGGTTGGGAAAGGGAATAAAGATCTGGGTAGATTTCATTATAAATCCTTCACATTATCGTATATTTTAAGTCCATTAAAAAACCCTTTAAGAGAAAAATTTACTCAAGTTTATAATTAAGCTACTGTATGTATCTGAACAGTAAGAGTTTCTTTATTATTATTATCCTGCCTCAGCCTCCTGAGTTGTTGGGATTATAGGTACAAGCCACCACACCCAGCTCCCTTATGTTTTAAAAGGTCAGTAATCACTATTCATTTCTTTCTTTTTTCCTGGTACTGGGGATTGTACTCAGAGGTACTTTACCTGAGCCACATCTCCATTCCTTTTTATTTTTTTAATTTTGAGACGGGATCTAAGTTCCCTAGGCTGGTCTTAAAAATTTATAATCCTACTGCCTTATCCTCAGTCTGTGTGATTATAGGTGTGTACCACTGTACCCAGGTCCCAGCCCCTTTTAATGCATTTCCATATAGTAGTTTTCACAGAACTTGAGACATTAGATTCTGTGTGTATGCACACATATGAAGTAAACATATCAAAAGAGATGAACATAAGCCTGTGACTACAACTTCTAGCAAACATTATTCTTTGGTAAGCATTTAATCATTAGAAAGCAAACTGTACAATTACCTGACTAGAAGGTCCAGGAGACGCAAAAGGTGAAGGACATGGCCCATCTTGCAAGGAAAAATGTGCAATAAAAACTATAAGTTTTGCAAATGCACCCCTCACTTCTGCACTTGGGCATTCCAAAAGGTATTCAGAGAAGCGATTTGAAACATTAAAAAGGACATTATGAGCAAACCAAAAACGTACATTCTTGCTGTGGCGAAGGAGAATACACAATGCATCATACCTAAAACAAACAAAAATATCTATGACTATCAATATGGCTTATATTTGACTTATTTCATATACAAAAGGGATAGATCTCTATGAACCAAAAGAAAAAAAGTGAAGGCCTCTACTGCTGGAGAGAGAAGCAGCAAATGGTTGCTTCTAGTACTAACATTAAACGGATAGGTGAATACTATGACTTGGGTCTTTTCTCAGTGACTTAAAAAAATAAGCAAAAGTTTGCACTGTACTCTGAAAAATCTACTCTAACGTTCCATGACAAAATAGCCCCCACTTTCCTTAACATCTTACTCTTGGATGAGTAAGTAAAACTAGCCATATTTAGTCTAAGTATTTTAATCTAATCTCACCACTGCTACCAAGAATTTTTTTTTTTTTAAAACACACTTCAAAATTGAAACAAGATCCTCATGGTTTGGAAAAAGTAAAAGAAGTTCTATTAAAGAACCAAATCAAATGTCAGTATACTAGGAATGAAAAGTCAAAGCAATGTACCAATCACTGGCAGAGCCACGGACTATTTTCTTTGTGTGAAATCCTGTAGTAAAGAGGAACCTAGCAGCAAGTTGAATACTAATCATAGTGATTTCTTCTGCTTCAGGCAACAGGTGATCTTGCCCTATAAATAAAATGCAGATATATATATATATATATATAAAAAAATCAAATTTCTATTTTCAAGCCCCATTTTCCAACAAGTCTGCATTCATGAGAAGTCCTAAATCTGTTAAATACCCCTTTTCCTGCTACTTAGAAAACAATTTTTTAAAAAGTATTTTTTTATAGCAGATGGACACAAAAATGCCTTTACCTTATTTTTATGTGGTACTAAGGATCAAACCCAGTGCCCCACACATGCTAGGCAAGCGTTCTACCAAGTGAGCTACGGCCCCACCCCAGGAAATAATTCTTACTCCTTGATTTTAGCAGCTCATGAAAGCATTTTCAAATCAGTGAGGAAAAAAATCCTTAAAACAAACTAAACTTCCTGTCTCCAAACAGTTAATTTATTGCTCAAAGGTACCAGCCATCTTAAATGTGACCTTAAAATAAGCAAAAACTTAGACCCACTTAAAAATATCAATATTTTATGAACTTAAACATGTCAATGCTTGGAAACCCTTCAAGTATGAATTATTCTTTATTATTAAGAAACCAAACTCTCAACACTTACCTGGAGGAGGGTTTAAGTAAACACCATTACATGTAAGCAGTTTTTTCATAAACTGAAAATACTCCAAACTGTACTGCATTCGGTTATGCATGAATTGTACATTCTGTTTCCGTACACTTCTCTCAATGGCTGATGGCATTATTATTTGATGGGGTCTTGTGGTGATAGCAAGCTCTGATATGTATCTTATCAACTCATCGTCTTGGTCTATTGTGTCCATTCGTTCATAGAAAAGTATATAAGCATTCCACCACCTTTTCTGGCGCCTGTATGACATGCGCTTCATCATGTGATCAAACACTTCTCCCATGTATTCTCCACCAAAACACTGATTTTTCATTTCCTCATCGTCATCCATTTTACATTCGGTTACATCTCCATCATCAAATTTATACCAGCGATTTCTCTCACCATCTCCACCATTCCTTTGAATGATGTAAGAATAATAATGTCCCCCACTTGCTTGACCACTGTGTACAAGCACACCCACAAGCCTATACTTTGTGCTTCCTGCAGTCTCACTTTCAGACTGCTCATTCTGTTGTATCAGCTGACTCTCTGGGTTTACATTATCTCCTTCCAGCTTAGCAACACCTGCAACTGTGTAAGGTTCCATGTCCAGCTCACGAGGAAATTCAAAATAATCATTGAACTTGATTGCACATTCTCTTTCCCAGTCATAGTCAAATCGTTTTAGTTGGATAGCAAGAACAGGAGGTAATTTTTTAATTAGCAAGCGCTTTACGGTATCAACCTAAAAATAAAGAGAAAGTTATTGGCTGCTTTCTTATAATCCACTGCAAACAAACAAACAAAAAACAAGCAAATCTTTAAATGATATTATCAAACTCCCTTTAAGACTTACTTGGATTTTTATGTGTAAAGAAATACATGATAATGAACATAAAGTAATTCTGCCATAGTTGACTTAACTGTAAACCAAAATTAATAACATGGAAATGGCCTCTGTGATGTTACAAACTGTAAAAATTAGTGATACTAACACCACTTCTCGCCTGGTTCTTACACGGTCATAACTACCTAGCCATTACTACTTGATGTTTAATGTTGTTCTAATGAAGGTGGTTTGGTGTGAGAAAACCAAAGAAATAGAACAAGTTATTTATTGGGCAATTAGATGCCAGGTAATATTTTAAATGCTGCACGAACACTAACATATTTAATCCTTACAACCCTCTCAAGCAGGTACCACTGAATCTTAAAGATGAGGATAAGAGGTTAAGTGACTTGTCTCATGTCACAGAGGTGTGGGAGGCAGGCAAGTAGTATGGCTTTTGCAACCTCTACACTTCTCTAAGCGGTTGGTAAGGCAACATAATGCAGTAATTTGTAGGTGAGAGGGCCTGGGAACCTGAAAAGATATATAATATTTACTACCTATGAAATCATCTCCCTCAAAGAACTGCTAAGTTCCCACAGATAAAAACTAATTAGATCAGTCCAAATATCTAATCCAAGTGTTAAACACAGGTGGCAAATCTTAAGTGGTTAAATAAATTAATGGTTTTCTCCAAGTAAAGGACATGAGAGGTGAAGCATTTTCCTCTATTAGCAAGAGAATGTAATGTGGTGTCAAGTTATTATGACTTCTAAAAATCATCCACATGTTCATCACCTCTATGGTACTTTTTAACCTTCTTTGCCCAATAAATCATTAAATCAGCTGTCCTCTTGACTATCTCTCTATTACTGCTATGACAAAGTAGGGTAGATATTTTTTCCAAAGGGTGAATTTTGAGGATAAATGTCATCATAATTATTTTAAAGCTGGACAATCCATACCTTTTTATTGCATTTTTCACAATGATATGCATTTGCACCTTCTAATAAATCTCCTTTGACATACTGTTCCAAGGAGTCAAGAAGATTTTGGTGATTTCTAATGTCTACATTCAGAGTCGTAAAAGATTCTTCACATTCGTACCTAAAGATATTATTTAAGAAACAATCAAAAAGGACTTTATGCAAACTACATTTGCAATATTTATTATGTAATAATAATGAAGCTCCTAACTCACAGAATGTTACCAATACTGATAGCTAACATTTACTGATCATTTGCTCGTGCTTGTCACTATATTTGGTCATTTAAAACACTCAACATATTAGGTTTCTTGTTTTTATGACAAACTTGCTAGAGAAAAAAAGTTTTGAAGCCAAATATATTTGGACTTAACAGCTTAAGCTCCTTATAGTCTACCAGTGATATGTTTAGATAGAAACTATGGGTCCTATGGTCTCTGTGGCAGCTACTTAATTCTGCTATTGTAGCAAAAAGAGTCACACAGTATAAAACTGAGTACGTTCCAATAATATTACAAAAACAGGTGATGGGCTGGATTTGGCTTGTGTTATATAGTTTGTTGACCTGTTTTATTATGCAAAGTAAAGCCCTGTAACATACAGTCTTGGGACTCTCTATGTATGGTTTGGCATGTAATAAGAAAAAGACTAGTTCAGATATTGATCAGGCAGTAAGGATCTGACTTCATGAACATGATCTTTTACATTTTCATTTGGCAAAGAACACAAATCATTTCCAAGTAATTTGGTAAACTGTCCAAAACAAACTGAGGACCGACAGAAAAGATGAGCAAAAAGTTGGCCATATTATCAATAATTAAAAACAAAAAATTAAGCTGAGGACAGTGGCACATGCCTGTAATCCCAGGGACTCAGGAGGCTCAGGCAGGAGTATTGCAAGTTTGAGGCCAGCCTCAGCAACTTAGAAAGACCTAGCCTACAAAAACAAACAAACAAAGAAGGCTAGAGATGGGGATGTTGTTCAGTGGTACCCTTTAACTCCTGGTGTCACAAAAAAAAAAAAAAGAGGTTAAAGTGATAATCTTATTGTTTTCCTAATGATGTAAACGGTCTTTGCAAGAAGGCCAAAAGTTGCCCAGGCTAAGTAAGTACATACACCAATTCAGAATGAATGGTAAAATTATAAAACCATAAAATTATTATTTATAAAGTATTCTTTACCCCTCATGATTTCTCTATGTTTAAACACTAAGTGCCTCCAACAACCATACACAAACTCAACTCTTGGCTATATATATATGATCAATTTGACTTATAATGAGGTTTTTCTTTGGAAACAGCATCTTGCTAGGTTACCAAACCACGTCTTGACCTTGGGATCTTCCTGCCTCAACCTCTGGAGTTGCTGGGACTATAGGGAGGCACCATCATGCCTCATTGCTATTGTTATTAGGTATCATTAATTAAACACTTTACTTCCTTCCGTCCATCTGGACTGGGGATGGAACCTAGGGTAGTCTACCAAACAGCTATATTTCCAGCCCATTTTGAGATAGGGTCTTGCTAAGTTGCCCAGGCTGGCCTTGAATTTTCCATCTTCCTACTTTGGCCTCCACAAAAGCTGGAATTATAGGTATGATACCATGCCCGGCAACAGTTTCCACATTTAAAGTAAAAAACTAAACACACAACAAAGCACACAAACACAATTTGTTCTCTCATTCTTGCTGTACTGTATACAAACATTTTTAAGCAAAATGATAAATGATGTTATTTTACAAATGAGTATTTCACTTTAATAGGGAATACTACTCCAAATCCACCATCTTTTAGGTTTAATACAGCAAAAATTTTATTTTTGTTAGTATATAAATACTACTACTTACACTTCCAATCTGTAATTAGCACTTACCTATGTGGACAGCCTTGGCAAATCTTCTGATCAGCAAAGGACCCTCCTAAGACTTTACTTAGCATAGCTGGATGTCCTAAGGCTTTTAAAGCTTCATCTAAACTATCTACCAATGAATTAAAAAATTCTAAAGCATCATGTTGTTCACGCAGATTAACAGGCTCGCCCCAAAGCCTAAGAAATGAATGAAATAAAACATTTAACATATGACAATATATACACTGTACATACATTGTATTTTTGAGGGGAAAAGAAAGCAATGTAACCACAAATGACAGCATATGTACACTGAAATTTTCTTCCTCAACTACATGAGGAAAGTACTGGTGTGGCTGACAGATAGTATGGGTCCAAGAAAGTTGAGGTTGCTTCAGGTGATGTGACAAAACAAAGTATCACTTATGTATACCACAAAATGAGAACTGACATTGGTAAAGCCCAAGCACTGCTGGAAACTATCAATGACATCCAATTTTGTATTTACGTAAATAAACTAATACATGGAGTATACATATTTATTCTAAGCAAGAGCTATGCTGAATTATATTTTAGACACTTCAGAAGAACTGTCTTTTGAAAAATACTTCTATCACTTGTGAAAATAAATTTGTTGCATTATTTGAAAAACCAGTCCATTTTATTTGTTTTTGGAAATTTGAACTACACACGACTTGCTAAACTTTGCAATGTGTACATAGTCTAGATGTCAACTTATTAATTATAAAAGAGAAAAGTTACCCTTTACAATGGAGAAATCTGTTAAGACACTGGGGGATCAAAGTCATTACCATCAATAATTAAACACATGGACAGCATATGCTTCCCAACTGGACACACTGAGATGCATAGAACATCATCGATGTAGTTTTCCTGCTTTCCTCCCCTAAAAGCTTGACCTGAATCTAACCATGAGGAAATAATCACACAAATCAAGACAGACAGTCAATACGACAACTGGTCTGTGCTGAGCACGGTGGCACATTCCTGTAATCCCGGCTCAGAAGGCCGAGGCAGGAGGAGGATCACAAGTTCAAAGCCAGCCTCAGCAAGTGAGCAAGACACTGTTGCTTATTAAAATATAAAAATGGGTTGGGGATGTGGCTAAGTGCTCCTGGGTTCAATCCCTGGTTTAAAAAAAAAAAAAAAGGACAACTGGCCTGTACTCTCAAAAAATTTCAATGCCATAAAAGTCGCAAATTAGGGAGCTGATTCTAGACTAAAAAAGAATAAGAAGGTGAATTAAATTCTTTTTGATTCTTTTTTTAAATATTTTTTTTTTAGTTGTTGATGGACCTTAATATTTATTTATTTATATGTGGTGCTGAGAATCAAACCCAGTGCCTCACACATACTAGGCAAACACTCTACCACTGAGCCACAACTCCAGCCCCTCTTTTTGATTCTTTCCTGTGTATTCCAGATTGGGATATAAAAAAACAAAAGCTTCACTATAAAACCATTTTGAGGAAACTGGAATATGTACTGATATTATTAGAGATGATTAACATTAAATTCATTGGGTATGAAGCGTCATGTTTTCAGATTACTATCAAATGGTTTACAAAAATAAACCAAAACCCCAAAACCAAGTATACGCATGGAAAAACAAGCAAATATGGCAAAATGCTAGCAATTAGACAGATCTAGGTAAAGAACATAAAATAACAGTGATGACTTCCCCTTTACTATACTTCTGAAAATTTTGAAACTAAAAAAATTGGGAGACACTCACACACACACAAACGGGAAGTTTAGTTCACATTTTCAATAAATTAAATAGACTGGTACTGTTTCTAATAATGAAACAAATTGATTTTAACAAATAATGTCTGAAGTGTGGTAAATTGAAAAGTGCTAGTTTACATGAAGTGTGAGCTCCACTAGCTTTAGGGGGAAAAAGGTATTGTAAGAGAGAAAACTGAGTGATAAAATCCAAGCTATAAACTTGAATCACTAGTACAGATCAAGGAGGGGCCTAGTTAGGGGAATAAAATGTGGTAGTGATGGTGAAGCCACTGTATATCAGGCAGGGGGTTCACAAGAAATCTAAATATCCTCATATGTAAAAAGGGAGCCTCACTGCCATTCCACAAAATTAAAAACATCACTTGAATCTGCTCAAGTCTCCATCTTACATCTCTTACAGATGTCGGAGAATTAAGAAAATAGGAAACACTAAAATACCCTGGGGACCCCATCAACAAAATTCTGACTGGGAAAACTTGTAGTGTTAACTACCTGTTCCCCTCCATAAACAACTGTATTAAAAAAAAAAAAAGGCAGGGTGGGGGGGATTTTGCAACAATGACCAAAAGAAACTTAAGAGGCATTATTAACCATTTGTGGTATATGAACCTCATCCAGATCCTGATTATTGGGGCAGTACTAGGGATTATACCAAGGGGTGCAATCCTCTGCCCCAGCCTCCCAAATTACTGGAATTATAGGTGAGTGCCACTGGGCCTGGCTCTGGATCCCAATTTTAAAAAATACCAGTGAAAATAATTTATGAGAAAAGTGGGTTAAGTTCAAACACTGATCACATTTGATATAAAGGATTTTTTTTTTTAAAAAGACATAGTAACAGTTCTATGGTTATGTTTTAAAACAGATATTAGAGACACATATGGGTGAAACTATCTTTTACCTCCAAACAATCTGGAAAGAGGTAGATTATAGAATACAGATTAAATAAGATTGGCTATGAGTGGACAACTGTTGAAGTTGGGTGATAAATATTAAGGTTTCATACTATTTGTGTACATATCAGACATTTGCATAACAAAGTTAGACGTCTCAAAACATTTATCTATTTTTGGTGCAAGAGATTTAACCCAGGGGTGCTTAACTACTAACCCACATCCACAGCCCTTTTTAATTCTGAGACAGGAACTTGCTAAGGCATACATGACCAGGCCCGGCTTCAAAACATATATTATAGAAGTTTAATATTAATGTATTGAGTATGTTCATCAAGTTTTAAGAAATATCCCTACATATTTAAATATAACAAAAAGAAAACAAAAGATGATCCCTATTATTATTCATTCATAGTTTACCTGAACTGTTTCCAAAATCCTCTGGGCACATAGTATTGTAGTCGAGAAGCAGCTAAATGACCAAAGATGACCTGAAGGTGTCTTAGGACACCAATATTGTATTCTTTTCTATCTTCTGTTTTACTTAATGCTGGCTTGTCTTCAAATTGTTGAGGATAGCCAAAAACATCATCCCTGGGATCAACATTGCTCTAGAAACCAAAAAATATCATTAATTAATGAGCTAATCTAAAATGTAAAAAATATGGTGAGACAAATGCCAGTTAGGGAAGAAATGATTTGTAGTTTACTTATGTTTCTTATTTCCAAAGCACTTAAATTCCAATTTATAAATTTATAAATTTTAATTATATTCATACAGCTATTGTGGGGATTATGAGGTAACATATAGAAAGCGGAACTCTAAACATCCTAACTCATACATATTAACAGTAGTAGTAGTACTCGTTAACAAACAGTGTTGGGAAAACCAGATACATACAAAATAATGAAGTTGGATCCTTATCTAAAATTTTTTATGTCTAAAAACTAACTCAAATGCACCCAAGTCCTAAATGTAAGAGCTGAAACCCTAACTTTTAAAGACAACAAGGTAAAAGCTTCAAGACATTGGAGTTGGTAATGATTTCTTAGATACGACACCAAAAGGACAGGTGACAAAACAGACAAATTTGACCTCATGAAAAATAAAAACTTTTTTTTTTTTGTAAATACATTGAAAGGGCAATTCATAGAATGGGAGAAAATATTTGCAAATCACTTATTTGATGAGGGATTTAATCTCGAATAGAGAATTCCTAAAACTTAACACACCACAATTTTAAAAATGGACAAAAAGTTTTAGAGAGGTATTTCTTCAAAAAAGATACACAAATGGCCAATAAGAATAGGAAAAGAAACTTAAAATCACTAGTCATTAGGGAAATTCAAATTGAAACTGCCACAGGATACTACTCACGCTCAATTAGGATGACAACTATGACAGATAGGGTTGGCAAGGATGTGGGAAATGGGAACCCTCATGTACCTACGGTGTTAATGTAAAATGGTACATTTGGGGTAGAAAAACAAATTCCTCAAAAAAAAAGAAAAGAAAAGAGCTGGTGCACATGAATGAAATCAGTTATTCAGGGGGCTTAGGCAGTAGGCAGGAAGATCACAAGTTCAAGGCCAGCCCAGGCAGCTTAGTAAAACCCTGTCTTTAAATTAAAATTTTAAATAGTTAAAAAATGAGGAAACAACCCAAGTATCCACACACAAATGGATAAGCAAAATGTGGTATGTACATACAATGTACTATTATTCAAATATTAAAAAGAGGAAGTTCTGGGGCTGGAGATGTGGCTCAGTGGTAGAGTTCTCGCCTAGCATGTGCGGGGCACTGGGTTCGATCCTCAGCACCACATAAATGTAAAATAAAGATACTGTGTCCACCTAAAACTAAAAAATAAATAAATATTTTAAAAAATAAAATGAAAAAGAGGAAGTTCTATTACATTCTAACATGAATGAACCTTGAGGACATTATGCTAAATGAAGGAAGTCAAGCTATAAAATGGCAAATACTCTTTGATTCCACTTATATAAGGGACTTAGGAGTGGTATAATTCATAAAAACAGAATGGTGGATCTCAGCAATTGGGGGGACAGGGGAAAAAGAGGTTGTTTAATGGGGACAGAATTTCAGTTTTGCAAGATGAAAATAAACTCGAGAGAAGAATGGTGGTGTACAACAATATAAATATATTGAATACTGACCTGTACACTTAAAAATGGTTAAAATGGTCAATTACGTGTATTTTACCACATTAAGAAATTTAGTTGTGGTATATGTAACATTAAGACAGAATTGTTGAGCATCATAATCTAATGACAGTAAGAATAGCTGTTTGACCTCTGATATAGAAACAGATACTATCCAATCTCTGCCCAAGAGAAACTTACAGTCTAGGGAGGGAAACAAAAGTACAAATAGAATAAGCCCCTCCACCCCTGAAATCCTTATAGTGCAGCAGGGTGAAGACAGCATAAAAGCAGAGGTACCACAGAAGCAAAGGCAGGACACCTTAAGTTGATTCATATTCCATGTGCCTTATCTACTATTTGCCAGTACAATTAGCTCTATCAACTTGTGTTTAACTCAGCATCCTGGGGATGTATGATGGGCCACAGAACTAGAATTTGAACTCAGAGCAGTGACTTTTGACCAGATGAGTATAAACATCCCCTTGAAGTCTTTTCAAAAAGTAAAATTGCTCAGCCCCCATTCCTTGGGTCATCAGGTCCAATGGGTCTGTGGAAGAGTTGAGGCAAGGGTTATGTTCTAGCAGCCCTGTAAGTGGTAAACTGTTTCTTCAGAACAAATCCAATTCTGGTGACTGAAGGGAAGGATTGAGGAATGAACCATTTTAAGACATTTACTACCACAAGAATACACTTTGGATTTTCTCTTCAGTTCTAACACAACAAACAAGGAAAGATAAAATAAAAACAAAGTAGCTTAGGGTATGTACAAACATTACTACAATTTAGGTCTTGCCATATTCTCTTCTTCGAAAAGCCACATAATAGTTATGTCAAATCTGATCCACCCCTACAACCTAACATTGCTTTATTCTGCACTGGATATGCCAAAGGCAGTCTACATTTGCTCACAAGACCATGTAATACTATTTCAAGTGTAGAGGAGTTTATTCTTTAAGCAAGAAGAGTTACGATCTGGGGGAAATGTAAGGACAACCTAAAAGCTAGAACATATAGTAAAAGTGGCAGATACTGTCCAACTTGTCATAAATCAATGGAGATATAATTGAAAATATGAAGTAGAAAAGTGAAAATATAATTCAAACTATTATCAAAAGGAGATGGGTACACTGTTACTTTAGAGACATACTATATCCAGAAGAGTTCAACCAGGAGAGTCCATTTCTACTTTCAAACATACTTTTAACAGATTTGATGAAAGTATAATATAGTCGGCCCTCCATATCCACTGGTTCTGCATTTGTAGATTCACCAACCCCAGGTGGGAAATATTGGGAAAATAATTGGGTTGGTGCTGAACATGTACAGACATTTTTTCTTGTCTAAACAATACAGTATAGCAACTATTTACACGGAATTTACATTGTATTAGGTATTTAAATCTAGAGAGGGGGCTGGGGTTGTGGCTCAGTGATAGAGCACTTGTGTGAGGCACTGGGTTTGATCCTCAGCACCACATAAAAAATAAAAATAAAGGTATTGTGTCTTTACAACTAAAAATTTTAAAAAAATCTAGAAAAAAAAGTGAAGTATATAGGAAAATATATATAAAGGTTATATGCAAATACTATACCTTTTTATATAAGGAACCTGAACATCTGAGAATTGTGGTATCCTCAGGGCATCTGAACCAATCCCCTGTGGATACTGAGGGATGACTGCACTCTCTTGGAAAAGAGAATAGTATCTGACATCAGAACTTCAAACACAGAAAACAGAAATAACTAAAACTTACCTCATTGTCCTGCTTCTCATCCCCAGACATATCATCATCTACATCACTACCTGTGCCTTCAATTGCAAGAATACCGTTCCTGATGGAAGGAATCATGTAGAGTTGCTGAATCACAGAATTCATGTAACAAGTAGCACCAGCATTTTTCAGCCCCACAAATCCTTTGGGTGGGCGGGGTCCAACAGGTGGCAGATATTCCCATTCAGTAAGTGCTTCACAAGCTGAAAGAAGGGAAGAGTCTTGTAGCATGAACATAACCACTCTGTACTTTCAAGCTCTATTAAGCTGATAAAGTAACAATAATGACAATTTCACCATCCCCACAGCTACCTGAGGCAGTGAATGCTCTCACTTTGCATCCCCTCAATCTAACATAGAAGCACAGGCCATTGCAGATTCTTAACATTAATGTCTACAAACTCATGTTTTATCTGGTATTATTTATATGGCAGTCTTAAAAGTAGTCATACAAGATGGCTCAATCCTAATTTGTGTGCTAACTTTGGTTTTATCTTTACCGTAACCATCATTATTTATCATTTTATACGCTTTTTAAAAAAACATATATACTTTTTAGTTGTCAATGGACCTTTATTTTATTTATATGTGGTGCTGAGAATAGTGCCCCACACATGCTAGGCAAGCACTCTACCACTGAGTCACAACCCCAGCCCATTCTCTTTTCTTAAACATGCTTTCAATCTCACTGTGGCATGAAACGTTATATAAATATATCAACACATGAGGCTTTGCTCAGTTTCAAATAATCCTAGAACCACCGAGGTTCAGTCTCAGTTTGGACACTTTTTTCCACCTTCAGGTGACCTTTTGTCCACTCCTACTAAGAGTAACATTTGCTTTGCCTATATCCACAGTGCTATTTTGGGGAGGAAACCAGAAAATGGATTTAAAAATTCTGTAGGAATTGTCAATCACTAAATGTATGTCCCCAACTCCCTCCACCTACCTAGTATAAACCTGAAAACAACACAATCATCATTTTCTAGGGAACCAGTTAAATAAGTTTAAGTATATTGAATTGAAAAGTATCTAAGCCAATACATGGAATTAGGTCAATATTTACATGTCAGATAGGGAACAATGACAGATATATTATTAAGGTATTAAGATATATTATTAAAAACAGAGTGAATGAGACTGTATTTTATTTCCATTTGTGGTTAAAAAGTTGGGGGGAAAAAAAAAGGTTTTGGCAGGGCGCAGTGGTGCATACCCATAATTCCCGTGACTCAAAAGGCCGAGGCAGAAAGATCACAAGTTGAAGGCTAGCCTCAGCAACTTGGCGAGACCTGGTCTTAAAACAAAAACATTTAAAAGGACAGGATGCATAGCTCAGTATCAAAGGGCCCTTGGGTTCAATCACCAGTACCACACACAAAGATTTTATATGCTAAGCAACTCAGTGAGACCCTGTCTCAAAATATAAAAAAGGGCTGGAGATGTGGCTCATGGTTGAGTGCCCCTGGGTTTAATCCCTGGTATCCCCCATGCATTTATATGTAGATTCTGCATACAGAGAAGTGGGAAGACAGACATGAACTGATGATAATGATTATAACTTTCAAAGAGGACTGGGGAAAATGGATGGGCAGAAACATACTTTTCACTGTATACTCAATCTTAAGTACTTGAAGTTTTCACCATGTAAATGTATTACTTAAAAATAAGCACAAACTCCTCTCCGTTAAAAGAAATAATGGCAACAAAAATCACCTCACTAGATTTGTTAGCTAAAGGTCTATTCTTCTTAAAATTTTATATTTTCAGTTGTAGATGGACAAAATACCCTTATTTTATTTATTTTTATGTGGTGCTGAGCTACAACCCCAGCCCAGGTCTAATCTCTTAAGCAGTCTATTTAACCAGAAACACTTAAGATGTTATTTTAAAACTTCCTTATATTCTGAAACATATTAAAAACGATTTACTATAACCATATGTTTTTAATGGTATATAGGGACTGAATTCAAAAATATTTAACCACTGAGCCACATCCCTAGCCCTTTTTTAATTTTTTACTGAGTTGCTTGCTTAGGGCCTCACTAAATTGCTGAAGCTGGATTTGGACTCAATGATCCTCTAGACCCAGCCTCCCAAGCCACTGGAATTAAAAGCGTTTGCCACCATGCCCATCTATATTCTTTTTTTTTTTTTTTTAAAGAAAGAGTGGGGGGGGGGAGAGAGAGAGAGAGAGAGAGAGAATTTTTTAATATTTATTTTTTAGTTCTCGGCTGACACAACATCTTTGTTTGTATGTGGTGCTGAGGATCGAACCCGGGCCGCACGCATGCCAGGCGAGCGCGCTACCGCTTGAGCCACATGCCCCAGCACCCCCATCTATATTCTTAAGTGGTGTAGATAAACTGGTTTTCTTCTTAAAATGAAATTGCCTTGGATTTGTTTGTTTTTACAGTTATTTTATATATGCATTCAATCCCTTTGAGCTTCAGTTTCATATCTTAAGATCTAGAATCTGCAGCTACTGTCATAGGCTTAATGTGGGTTATCAAGTGAGAACATGTAAAATACACCAAAATAGTATCTTCTCACATTCTAATCTTCAAAACTCCATATTTTCTTTGATGGTCAACCTTGTTTTCATATGAATTCTGAGCGAGTACCTGAGAGGTTGGCTAACCCATGCAATTTAGTTGTAAGCTGTATTTACTTTGGCTACTCTGGAATTGGGATTTTACTTCAGATTTGAAGGCTGAAACTTAATTTGTCAAATATTTATACACTTTCAACAGTTAACAAACACTTGAAAACTTTTCTATATAAGGTTCTCTGCTTGTAATGATCATAATTATATATCCATTTGCTAAAAATGTCAAGCTAGCAACTGACAGAAACAACATGACAGATTTTTACTGAAAGAAACTTGGCAAATAAAAAATTGAAAAATTACAACTATTAATCATCACAACTTCATATTTTAAAATACTTACTAGTTATCGCTGTCCCAATGTAATACATTTCAGTTAAAGAATCTACTATCTGTTTGAGATTCCTCACACAGCCAACAGCTAATGCTACAAGTAACTCAAAACCAGCATTAATCGTAGCTGGTGAACTACAGACTGGGATAGCCTGCTCAGCTGGGAGCTCTCCATTTCTCATATATTGCAGGTAAACATTGGACGCAGGAAAGATGAAATCGTCAATTAGTTCCTAAAAGGAGTTGAAAAAATGATTACATATTAACAACAATATATTCAGGAAAACAAAAAAAAATGTCTCTTGTAAGAAAACAATTTAAAAATTACTTATCAAAATTTAAGATCTTATTACAGCTCAGAAACTTGGATTTTCTGATGAATGTCCAACTTAGAAACATGAGTTCGTATAATTAAGAGACACATCCAATTTCCCATATTAAAACAAAGTATTAAAGACAGAATAAACTGCATTACTTAACAAAATTAACATTAATGCTTACTCTAATCAGACGTCTATCAAAATAAACCGATTTTGAATAAAAATTACTTACCACATACAAGAAAAACTCGAAATGATACATGACTCAGTCTTACAACAAAATGGAGGTTTGCCTCTTTAAAAATAGTCTGATGAAATGATTAATCCAGAGACACTGATGCTATTAGACAGATTTTTTTTAAATGGTTGAAGACTTCCGGTTTATTTATTTATTTATTTATTGATTGATTTTTAACATTTATTTTTTAGTTTTCAGCAGACACAACATCTTTGCTTGTATGTGGTACTGAGGATCGAACCCAGGCCAAACGCATGCCAGGTGAGCGCGCTACCGCTTCAGCCACTTCCCCAGCCCCTATTAGACAGATTTGATGGTGAAACATTTAGAAGGCTATGAAATCTAGTAAGGATCAAGAATGCTGAACTCACCTTAATGAGATTAGCACCTCCTTTTTCACAACCAATATGAAACTTTTTCTCAGGAGTTTGAAAGGCCAGTAACTCTTTTGTTACCCCAAGGTGGCCTTCCAAGATAGTCTCTTCAACACCCGTTTCACCTGTTCTTTTAACATCATCCTGCCAAATTAAAAAAAGAAAATAAAATAATAAATAAATGTCTAACTTTTAAAAGGGAGGCTAAGAGGGAAGGAAAAGCCAGTACAAGACAGAGCTGGAGGGACATAAGATAATTTCCAAAAATTGATCCACTGAAGCAAGTTTACAGAATTTCTTAGAGAGCAGGCTTTATATACTATTAGAAAAACTGCTATTTTCAAGACTAAAACCATCAGAAACAAATTCTCACGCAATTATGTCCAGGAGTTATGATCAAAGTGCTAGCCTATCAGACTCATTTTTTACAAGAACAATTTAAGAATGCTTTTTTTTTTTTTAAAGCTAGCAATTTGTAAAAAGGCCCAAAATACTAAAATGGAAGGAGGTGAACACCAGCATTCAAAGTTTCTAGTAAGAAAGCATATTTTATACAACTAATGAAACGTTTGTTCTACAAGTCATAAATATCCACCAATCCTTTGGTTTGTTTGATTACTTTGGAGCTCTCCATTTAACCGAAATGCTCAAAACTATAAACCCTCTCTTTTAACAATGATATATAACAGTATTAACTGCAACTTACCCTAATTCTTTTAAGCCAATCAATTTCATTATTGAGAAGAACTTCAGCATTGGGTACATTAATATTACTGTTATAAGCATAATTAAGAAGATGCCTTAAGAGAGTGAAGTAGTCGCCTGAATGTTTAGCTCTCTCTCTGGCGGTACTCTGAAAATAAGAAGGTATGAAAATGTCAACTTATATGCCCATGCTCAGAATCTACTTTTTAAATACTCAGTAAATTAGAGCAGATAACTAAAACAGGGAAATTTCCATTTAATAAAAGCTAAGACCATAAATCCCAGAATGTCCCTGGTGAAAGAGTGAATCACAAATGGTAAGCATATTAAAAAATGTCTCACCCCCAAAACGGTAAAGAGCAGAGTAATGAAGAAAAGTAGAGGCCTGTGTCCCATGCAACACCTGGTGCACATTAAAAAGAACTGCTCCTGTGCCACCTGACGGACAGTTCTGAAACAGAAATGTTTCACATTTAATACATTGCTCTTATTTAGAAAAAAAAATTCTAACACTGTTTTCTGGTTGGGGAAGGGTTGAATTAACAGTAATAATAACAAGGTAATCTCCCACTTAAGCAGTCTTGGCAATACTTAATAAACAAGCTGTATCCTCAGGAACGTAAGCTCAACCCTTGTGTCTTCTGACATCTGTCTCGGAACAAGCCAGAAATGGTCTTCTAGATACAAAATGTTCTAAAGTTAGCTTAATCCATGTTTTTGGCCTTCCAGAGAATTTTCATTTGGTTGTGCTTTAATACAACCACTTTGTGGGAATTCTGCTGCAATCACCCAAGGATACTACGCAGATGTTCCTTACGTCATACTAGTAGTTTCAAGGGTATGGTCTCCAGATTAGCAACATCAGAATCATCTTGAAAATGCCTATTTTCAGGTTCTATCCCAGAATTCCTGAATCAGAAATACTAGGGGTGGGGACTGAATTAGAACAAGATACATTCCATGCTTTTATCATCATGTCAAAAAGGATTCTACAAAATGTCATAAATAACAAAAAGAAGGAAAGAAAAATACTAGGGGTGGTGAGGCCCAACAATGGTTAAAACTATTTAGGTGGTTCTGATGAGTGCCAAAGATTGAGGACTATGGTATTATGCAATATTTCCTCTATGATAATCCATGGTGAAAACATGGATCTTGTCTCAATCCTGGGAATTTCACATGATCATTTTGAACCCAGGGCTGCTTCACCACTGAGCTATGTATCAGCCCTTCTTTATTTTTTTTTTATTTGTTTTTAGTTGTAGATAGACACAATACCTTCATTTATTTTTATGTGGTGCTGAGGATCGAACCCAGTGCCCCACGCATGCTAGGCAAGAGCTCTACCACTGAGCATTAACCTCAGCCCCAGCCCTTCTTTATTTTGAGACAGTCTAAATTGCTAAGGCTGGCCCTCAACTTGCAATCCTCCTGCCTCAGGCTCCCGTGCTGCTGAGATTACAGAAGTGCACCATCATCCTGAGCTTGGATCTTTTTTGAAAACAAGAAACAAAAACCAAAACTCTATTATATACTATACAGATTTCGCTAGAATAAACACTCCAAGAACCTGAAACAATGTGTGGCATACAGTAGGTGTTCAAGAACCAATTACCAAATGTACAAATACTATTTGTTTACAAAATGGTAGTCTGTCTCCATTAGAAAGTAAGCTCTTTTGGCATGGGGGGGCTTTGATTTGTTGATGCCAGAGTTCCAGGCACCAAGAACAATGTCTGACATGTGGAAGAGGCCCAGTGAGGACTTGCTGACTGAGTATGTGTGTATTTTTCAGTTATCACCAACTACATTTCTGTGGTAACTATGTTTTATCTTTGTGCTAGCTGCTGAGCTCAGAACTGACTTTTTATTTCAATTGTAAATGACCTGACAGTATACATTTTGTGCACTCACCTCCCTTCCTGGAATTTTTAGGTTTCTGAAAACTGCCCATGGGCCCATAAACCAGAGGGACTCAGAAGTTCCTAAAATTATTGTGGGTAGAATTTGGGAGTAACCCAAGTGAAGTCAGGAGTACATAAATTTCTGGGAAGAAGGTCCATGGCTATGTCAGATTTTCAAAGGAGTGCGTGTATGTTACACCCACTGCCTGGTTTAGTTTTAAACAAGTTAGGTATGTAGCCCAAACTGGGGTGGAAGGGGCTGCCCATAAAGAGTTTGTCTGTCAATTCCTCAAAAGCCCCTGAGCACTGTCACACTTTTATACTGCTTGCAAAGAAACACATTTCTGCTTGATAAATCCTGTTGCTTCCATCTTCACAATGTACCTGGAATCCGATAGTTTCTTTCCACTTTTATTAATGAATAGTTTAGCTGCTTTTTCTAATACTCTACAACCCACACCCAACCACAGAACACATCAGATTTCTCCGCTCAAAACCCTACAACAGATTGCCATCTCACAGTGATCATCAAAATCCTCAGGGTGACTACAAAATCCTTCCAGACTACGTATTTATCCCCTCTGGTCTCAGCCCCTGCTACTGCCCTCCTTTACCCTTCTACCCTTCAACATGAAAGGAATGTTCCTGCCTCAAAATATCTACCTCTATTGCTCCTTCTGCTTAAAACAATCCCTGGTTACCTACATGGATCATTTACCTTACTCTTTCAGACTCTGGATTGAAGGGCACCTCAGTGAAGCCTTCTCTGACTTTGCTGGATAAAAATGAACCCCACTGACTCCTAAACTCCTTATTCCCCTTTCCGGCTTTATTTTTCACTGCATTATTTATTAGGTCTAACATAATATATGGTTTTTCCCATGTTTTCCGATCTCTATATCCTTTGGCATATAAGCTCCAAGAAGGCTAAGAACATCTTCATTTTGCTTACTGAACTATTCCATAGTGTCTGCTACATAATAGGTACCAAACAAATGAGACTGACCACCATACTGAAATCAAACACTACTTAGATAGTAGCATCACAGGTCTTCTGTCAAACTGACTCCCACTAATCTCTTTCACAGTGTGATCCTTTGCTCCTACCTATAAAAACTGGATCTCTAGTTCTACTCTGAAAGCACTATCCCAGGGGTGGCAATAGGAAGGGTAAATAATTAGGCCCTGGAGGGGTTCAGAAAAGCTTATCACACCTAAATGATTTCCAATATTCCAACTTATTATCAGTGTTATGATGTGGAAGCAGACCTTTTAATAGGAATGGAAATTTTGGAAACTGTCCTGGTCTAGGGATAAGGAAAAGTTACTGGAAAATATGTGGCATTAAAATTGAACTTGGGAGTAAGGACGAGGAGAAGAGAACAAATTGTGGAATGCTTAAAAAACAAACTTAATGTTTGGATTTGCTTAAAAGGCAATAGGAAGACATAAAAAGACTTTAAGCAGAAAAGAAACAATTGTATTTTGTAGAGACTATTCTGCCTACAGTGTGCTCAACAGATTAAAAGGGTACAATAACAGCAGAAGGAAGAACAAGGACATTGCAGATGTCCAGGCAGTGGGAGCTGGCTGCTTTGACAGAGGAAGAAGCAGTATAAGAATTAAATTAAAAGCAGAAGCAACATAACTGGAAATGAGGGGGAGAGAGGGGCAGCACAAAGGCTATGTCTATCATCCTTTTAAATTTTTTCTGGCACCAGGGATTGAACCCAGGGGTGCTTAAACACAGAGACACAATCCCAGGTCAGTTTATTATTTATTTTGAGACAGGGCCTTACTAAGTTACTGAGGCTGGCTCTGAACCTGTGATCCTTCTACTTGAACCTCCTGAGCTGCTGGGATGACAAGCATGCGAATACACCTGGCCCATCCTCTAAATCCTAACTAAACATGAGCTCACATGCTAAATCCAGCATAAAACCCTCACTCCTGCTTCTTCCCAGGCAAAAGGTAACCTATTCCTTTTCCAATTCCCTAAGTACTTCATATTTTATGGGGACTAAGACTGTTGTAATTGAAATGACTGACAAGGTCAAAACATCACTTAATGCCAAAATTAAGAATCAAGCTTTTCTTATGTGTTAAATTCTGACTTGTTTCTGCCACAGAGTTTGATTCTGGGTATAATTATAATCTACCAGTAATATGTGAATCTCTACTATGTGCTGGGAAGTTAAAATTCAAAAGTCAAATAAGGAACTTTGAGACTCACATAGTTTTTTGGTAGTACTAGAAATATAACTCAGGGCCTTAAACATGCTAAACAAGTGTTCTACCATTGAACTACATCCCCAGCTCATAAGAGAAATTTTCATAAATGGTTGAGGGCAGAAAACATGTTTAAACCAAGTTCCTTAAAATTATATATATAAGTTGTTGATGGACCTTTATTTTACTTATTTGTATGTGGTGCTGAGAATCGAACCCAGTGCCTCACACATACTAGGCAAGCGCTCTTCCACTGAGCTACACCCCAGCCCAAGTTCCTTAATTCTTTTTTCATTAAAAAAAAAAAAAAAAAATTTTTTTTTAGTTGTTGATAGACTATTTATATGTGGTGCTGAGAATTGAACCCAGTGCCTCACACATGCCAGGCAAGTGTGCTACCGCTGAGCCCTACCTAGCCCCAGCCCCAAGTTCCTTAATTCTTACTAGGCCAAGTTCATGAAACCCATTCCTTGTGAATTACAGTAGATGGGGTAGAGAGAGAAGATGGGAGGGGAGGGGGGATAGTAGAGGATAGGAAAGGCAATAGAATACAACAGACACTAGTATGGCAATATGTAAAAACATGGATGTGTAACCGATGTGATTCTGCAAACTGTACACGGGGTAAAGATGGGAGTTCATAACCCACTTGAATCAATTGTATGAAATATAATATGTTAAGAGCTATGTAATGTTTTGAACAATAATTAAAAAAAATTCCTAATAAAAAGTTTAAAAAAAAAAAACAGAATAAGAAATCTGCTATCTCCAGGACTGACTTCAAGTCTCCTCCCGCCTCTCCTCCCCAACTAATATCTACCACTGAGCTATGTCCCCAGGGATTGAATTTTTATTTTGAGACAGGTTCTCCCTGTGTTGCTGAGGCAGGCCTCGAACTTGTGATCCTCTTGCCTCATTTCTTACTGTAGGTGCCCGCAACCATACCTAGCTTCAAAAAACTTCTTAAACATTCCTACTTGAGAACCTACAACACATCAATTTTAAGCACCCTTGAGAGTAGGCAAGTTGAACACAACCTATTACATACATCATGTACATTTTTTAAGCTTTATTTATGCATCACTAGATTTCATTTCAGCTTATTTCATTCAGCTTATTTTATTGCTTTATTTTGACTTTATACTAACCTTTCTACAACTAATTTTGTCATTACTGAATGGCATGTATGTAAGACAGATTAATCACACATTAACAGTGACACTAAAGTTTAAAAACTTAACCTTATATATGAAGGTCAGGATCAGACTAACGGAAATGGATGGAAACCAACATTTTCTACAAATCTGATGGACTTGCACAAAAGAGTGCAAATTGAAATTATTATCACTGACTAAATGCTTTTGTAAGGAAAGTCTTTATAATTGATCTTTATTCTAGTGTAAAATGCCAAAATTCGTTCAGTAACCTTGTCTCATAAATTTGATATCATATTAACTTTGACTAAAGAAAATCTGGCAAGGGAAGGGAGGAGGAATGGGAATAGGAAAGACAGTAGAATGAATGGGACATTATTATCCTATGTGCACATATGATTACACCATCATTTTAATCCTATATCATGAATAATTCGAAGAACGAGAATATGTCAAAATACATTCTATATCATGTATAACTAATTAGGAAAAAAGTATATGAAAACTTAAAAAAAAAAAAAGAGAAAGAAAACCTGGCATCTAAGAATCTAAGATAGGAGAACAATATCCTAGTTAAATCTTACAGTTCAGATTTTCAAAGATGGGCTAATCCATATTTCTTAGTTGACCCTAAGTAGAAAAAAATTAGTACTTTGAGAATTAATATTGGCTGTTCTTTGCCTTTTTTTTGGTACTAGGGATTGAACCCAGAAGTGCTTTATCCCCATCCCTTTTTGAGACAGGTACAAGTTGCTAAGTTGCTAAGGCTGGCTTTGAACTTACGATCCTTCTGCCCCAGGTTCTCGAGTCACTGGGATTACAAGGCACATGCCTTGTAATGCTGGGCATTTGCAGAGACAAAAAAAATCAAATGAATTCAGGTTAGGCAAAACATTATTACATAAAATTTTCCTCAACACATGCTACAGAGATTATCTGATTTAAGAGATACATTATGCCAGCATAAATCAATTTATTTCTGCTTACAAAATAAAATCAATTTTTATAAAATTAAAGACACTTACTTGCTGTGACAGTGCAAAAGCAAGTCAATAATGAATGTCTGCCAAGCCTTTTCTTTACTGAGAGCATCTAAGGCTGTTGGAATCAAGGCAAAACATAATGTCATCACTTCCAGTGCTTCACAGCAAACCTGTTCATCTTCCAAGTCCAGCTCATTGCCTGCATTGGTCTGTAAAATTAATTGGGAACAAATTACCTAGAGATGCATTTCAGAAAAATCTCATGTGATTCTAAGACTCCAAAGTAAATGCTTACAATTATCTACTTGCTTCAACAACACAGCCTTAGTCTCCTGCAACTCTTCAGACTCTTTTGAAATAGTCTAGAAAGAATTATAATGGAAAACAAAGTCTAATTCCAGTATTTTTCTGTCTAAAAAAGGGCTGAAGGAGCATATTGAGCATGACATGTACTTCTTTGTCCTTAAGGCTCCTTCTAAGTTACATAATTTTATACCAAAAACCATGCTTTTCTAAAGAACCACTCTAGTATAGTACTTTTGACTAGTTCATCTGATTTTCCTATTGTTCCATTTCATTCAAAATCATTTGTCTTGAACAATTATTCAGGAAGATTTTGAAAGCAGCCTAAAATATGCTTGTGAATTTATTCATTAAAAATAATAACTATAGTACATGACTGCAACAGAATAGGCATTCAGTAACTTACGGAATGAAGACCCAGGACTTTAAATAGACACAGATACTATTGGACACCAATAAAGTAATGAAAATTGAGGGTTATATTTGCTATAAAATACAAGTTCTACTGAGCCATAAAAGTACGTATAACCCAACCTCTCCTAAATATGTAGCAGTACCTACCTAATAGGAACAGGTACACATGACAGAAAACCAAAGAGCCAAGCATAATTTCTGTTGTGTAAATAATTTAACACAAGGTCAGATATGATACCTAACTGGTTGATATTTTTCCTACTTTTTTGACTGCTTTAAGAGACTCAGACAAAAACACTTTAATGCCATGATACCATAAGATAATTAACTAAACCACAATTCACATAGTATTAAAGGGTGATGAAAGAGTAACAGAATGGGAGAATGCAATTCAATGATACGATTTTATCCGATCCCCCAAAGTAGTTAAAAAAAAAAAAAAAGAGGGGGGGGGGAGAAAAAACAAACAAACACCAATTTTATTTAAAAAGCAGACTCAGGGCAGGATTCTTAAGTATTTTCAAAGCAAGATTTTTATTAAATTCTCAACTATAGATACCAGTTGATTTTCAGTCATTAACATGCAAGCAGATAGAATTTTTAAATATAGCAAACTTAATAAAAATTTAGCCACATACACAATTAGCAACATTTATTAAAAAGAATATATTTCTGTCACAATTCTTACCTTCTCATAAATTTTAGTGATTTCTTCATTTGGGCTAAACACTAGTTGTAATGCCCCACATCCTGATGCCCAGATGATTTTTTGTATAGCTCTAATGACACAAATATCAGGCATGTATCTTGACGCCTGCAAGATAATGAGTAATTAAAACTGTTGACAGAAATATGAATTAGTGAAAAGTAGTATCACTGTCTTTAGGTTTTCAAGTTGCCTTCATCCTTTATTTATTTAGCTTAAACAAAAGTATGCTCTACAAATTAGTACCAGAAACCACACTGTTTTTATCAGGGTCTTAAAATGACAACCATTCTACTCTGTTGCTTACCCAAGAGACTTGAAACTCTGTATCTACAGAAACACATGCACAGAATATTAAATAGCAGCTTTCTTAATAGTCAAAACAGTCCAAGTGTATGGATAAACAAAATGTGAAATATCCACAATGGGATACTATTTAGCAACAAAAAGAAATAACTACTGATCCATATAACACATAATTCTCAAAGTCAATAGTCTGACTTTCACATATATATTACATACATATGCATGTGAAAAAAGACACAGAAGACATGCTATATGATTCAGTGTTAGAAAATGGAAACTCCTCTTATAAGGACAAAAAGATTAGGGACTACCTGGGATGAGAGTTGGAGGAAAGAATGGACTGTAGAGGGGCAGAAAAGACTTAACAGAAATATTTTGTGTCTTGAGTCTTCATGTACAATGCCCTAGATTTGATCCCAGTGCAATAAATAAACTTTTGGGTAGTGGTTTCACATGTGTGTACTTGTCAAAATTCACCAAACTGTATACTTTCTGTTATCTGTAAACAAAGATATAAAAAACTCATATAATCCTTACAATACTAACCTCATCAGATATCTGCTGAGCAAGACGAACTGACACATTTCTAAGCATGCACTCAGATGATGGATTAGGAATGCTCTGAAGGGCACTTTGTAGCACCACTGCTTGATCATGAGTAACCTGGTTGACCTGGAAAAACACTTTATTTAAGTGATTCGTACATAAGCAGACCCAATCATTTGCACTTCATTCATCAACATCCAAGATGACCACCTCTGCACAAATATAGAGCCTGTAGTGACTTAGACAAAGCACTTGATGCTGCCAACAAGGTGTGGGTTCCCTCTCTTGCGCTTTGAAGTGCTATGCGCCTGTCTGCCAACTCCATTTTAGATTAATCCACCTTGTGTCTCAATATCTGGGTTTAGTGTAACTTGCAGAGGATAAATGATAAACTGAATAGACTAGGTTCAACTTTAGGGACTCAGTAAAATATTACGCATGCCCCTAGGCAGACCCTGCTTGCATTTTCCCCTATTCATCAAATTCCACTTTGTAAAGGAGAAAAGGAATGGAAAGGGGTGGGGGGACTAACTTATGAAAGATATCAGTGTCTTTCCTTCACAGTATAACCAAATTTTGCAGTCTACAAAACCAGATAAATTTTATTAAGTATTTAACAACACAATTCTAACTGCCTTTGAGTGGAAACTTCCCTTGTATATACTATAAATATTTCTATGTCATCATTTAAAATATTTCTATATTACTAATTTTATATATTTTACATATTTTACTTCCTATAGACTATGAGCTTCTTGAGATTGGAGGCTATTATGTACTGATTGGAGGCTATTATGTACTAATGGCACATTCTCTGAAAAGGTTAAAAGCATTTTTTATTTTTGGACTTCATTAAACATCCGCATTAGGAATTATGACAAGAATCTGTTCTTATATCAAAACAAGAAGTTGTCTTTTAGTGCTTCCCCAAAAATCCCAACAAAACGGACCCACAACAACAAAAACAAAATAATATAAAACATAGGTCATTTTATTTTATATTGAAAATTTCCAACACATATGAAAGCAGAGAGAATAATTTAATAAACTGCCACATATTCATTACTCTGCTTCAACTATTATAAATAATGGACCAAATTGTTAGTTATCTAACTATTCCTCCTAATTTCCAATCTCAGTATTGTTTTCAGTCAAATCTAATATAATAGCATTTACAAGTATTTCAGCCACTATTACAGAAATGGGAGGGGGGCTTTTCCTTTTAAATGAAACCATAATATTATCATCCCTAAGACATAATTATCTTATCAACATTCCAATCTTCCCAAATTAAGACATAATTTCTAAAGAATAAAATCTCATCCCTGAAACTTTTATATTCTGTCAGTACCTTTGTAAAATTATCACTTACAATGTATATAATACAACTAAAAGTTTAGTTTGACCTCTCATAAGTAGGTGTCAAATTCTGGCATATTTGGAGAACTTTAGTACTACGGATCAAGGATGCCACCAAGGAAAAGGCAGTCAGATAAAAAGCTCAGAAGTGGAGGTTAAGCTGATCAAAGTGGGAAGGGAAGCTGACAATAGGCTAAATTAATTACAACTGATCTTCACATGTCTGGCAAGTACAAGTTACTGAGACTCATAAGGGGTTTTTCTTAGATTTAAAATAATTTAAAGTCAAGCAGGATGTAAGCAGCAAGGGGAGGAACAGCCTTCTCAAATCAGTAGCATACTCAGTGAAACATTATTTACACTTTTAACACAAATATACTATAATAGAAGAAGCTTCTAAAACTGGTATCCAACTGGAAAAAAAATTGCAACATTTTGAATCAACCCCGAACTCTACTTAAAAGTTGCTGAGAAGTTTTATCTTAAGAATTACTATCATAAACTATTACAAAAAGAATATTTTTTAAAGTCTGTATTACCGATGTCATGGGATTCACGCCTTCTACACCTGGCTGACAAGCCTCTGCCACTGCCCGAACATGGCCATAGCCAATAGCAGTTAGCAACAGTTTGGCTATTTTAAGAGCATTGAGGTAGGCACCCCTTCGAGTTTCCATATCTGCATTTGGTAGGAAGTTATTTCTGGTTAGCATACTCAGGACGAGGGGTAGACCACCACTTTTTAAGAAGTGAAACTGAAAATCAGAGGAATCATCAGCCAGAGGCGCACCAGCAGGCATTAACAAGGCATAGACCACCTAAAAAAAAAAAAAAAAGAGGGGTGAGGGAGACACTGTATTAAAAGATTCAATAACTTCAATTTCTATCATCATTGCTAAGAAATACTTGACCAATTCAAAAATATCTCACCCATGTTCTTCATATTAACAAAAGATCAAATTTAAAGAACATGAATGGAATAAATTCAAAAGGGGGAGGGGGGAACCAACCTCTGTTAGGTATAGCACTTGTGAGGCTGAAGGACCAAAGAAAAGCGAGTCGAGAGATGGACTAAGGCTGCTCTCTCCAAGTTTGGCGTGGTCTAAACAAATAGCTCTTAATTTTTCTATTGTTGTACTATCTGTAAGAAAGAGAAGACACGGTCTGAAACAAAACATAATTCACGTCTTCATAATATTTCAGTTGCCACAGGCTCTTTTAAACTAGATTGATTTAACAACACAAACACACACACACACCCCGCCACCCCAACCAGGGCCCTTTAATCAGTAATCTTAAACACAAAGGGAGCAGTAGAGGCTTCTAGTGAACATGCCCTCCTAGGCCAACGGACACTGAAAAAAGAAAAAAAAAAAAAAACACTTCAAAAAAAGTGGTTCTGAGCCAGCACAGTGGCACATGCCTATAATCTCAGTGGCTCCCGGGTTAAAAAACAAAACAAAGAACAAAAAAATTATAAACTCTTTCCTCCAAATTCTCTGTGTGTGTCCTCATGACACCACTAGCAACTTGGCAAGGCCCTGTCTCAAAATAAAAAATAAAAGGGGTGGGGGAGGGCTGGGGTTGAGGCTCAGTGGTAGAGCATTTGCCTCACATGTGTGAGGCACTGGGTACAATTCTTAGCACCGCATATAAATAAATGAATAAAATAAAGATCCATTGATGGGGCTGAGTTTGTGGCTCAGTGGTAGAGCACTTGCCTAGTATGTATGAGGCACTGGGTTCAAGCCTCAGCACCACATAAAAAATAAATAAAGGGGCTGGGGATATAGCTCAGTTGGCAAAGTGCTTGCCTCACATGCACAAGGCCCTGGGTTCAATCCCCAGCACCACAGTCAATCAATCAAATTAAATAAAGGTATGATGTCCATCCACAACTAAAAAAAAAAAGTTAAAAAAAAATAAAGATCCATTGACAATTAAAAAGATATATATTGGGCTGGGGATGTGGCTCAAGAGGTAGCGTGCTCGTCTGGCATGCATGCGGCCCGGGTTCGATCCTCAGCACCACATACAAACAAAGATGTTGTATCCGCCGAAAACTAAAAATTAAACATTAAAATTCTCTCTCTCAAAAAAAAAAAAAAAAAAGATATATATTTTTTAAAGGGGCGGGGGTGCTAGGGATGTGGCTCAGTGAATAAGTGCCCGTGGGTTCAATTCCTGGTACCAAAAAAACCAAACCAACCAAAACTAGCTTGCTACACTGAGAGAAACATGGTGGTACACAGGAAACATTCCTAAAATTTTTAGCCAACATTACTAATGCAAATATTTACCTTAAAATAAGAACTTTGAATTTTTTCTATAGTTGTATAATTAAAATTTTTTGAGTTTCTTCTAAATTACAGTGAAGAGAGTTAAATAAAACAATAATTCCACAATACAATTAGGCATTTGCTACCAAATTTAAGAATAATTAATCAGGGGAATTCTGTCTCTTCTCACTTGAATACATCTTATTCTTAATGCTTGGGGGCAGAGGGAAGAAAGAAAAAGTGGTTGATTACCTTTAGAATACTTTGATAAAGTTCTAAGTAACTGCCCTATAATTTAAAAAATTGCTCGATAAATTACTAACTACTTTTTTTCCTACAGAAAATAGTAAATAATAATAGTTAGTAAATTCAGTAATCATAAATTAAGTAATCATTTAATATGTGTGCATTTATGCATATATTTTCCCCACATTTTTATTGGTGCATTATAGTTGTACTTATTCATGGGATGTGTTATGTATTATTACATGCATTAATTAGTTCAAAGAGCTTATAACAGACTTTGACGTATTTTAAAATATTAGCTGCCCGAAGCTTCTATAAAAAAAGCAACTTATTCCTCCTGGTAAATAAAAAATTTAATCACTCAGTATCAAGCAAGTGTCTTTTTCTGCTGCACACAAAGGACACAGGAGTTAAGTATAGTTTAGATCATAAGACATCAAATTATAAAGAATACAGAAGCTCCAAGTTGAACAGCAAATCACAGTAGAGGCCCACTTCAGGCAATGATCTGCAAATACCTAAGACATAAAGTCAATTACTAGGACATGCATGCTGTGTTTATAGCAGCATAATTCACAATATCCAAGCTATTTAATCAACCTAGGTGTCCCACAATGAATGGATAAAAAAAATGTGGTATATTATACACAATGGAGTTTTATTCAGCCATAAAGAAAAATGAAATTTATGTCATTTTCAGGAAAATTGATGGAACTAGAGATCATTATGTTAAGTTTTAAATAAGTCAAACTGAGGTGGTCAAGGGTTATGTATTTTCTGTCACATGTGGAAGCTAGAGAAGAAAAAGTAAAAGATGGGGATGGATCACGTGAAAATCAATGGAAGATCATTAATTAAGGAAAGGGACTAAGTGGCTGGAGGTGGGAAGAGAGGGGGAAAGTGCTGGGGAGAGATATTGGCCAAATTATATTGTTTTACTGTGTATTGTGTGCATGTAATAATACATAACACATCCCATGAATAAGTACAACTATAATGCACCAATAAAAATGTGGGGAAAATATATGCATATATGCACACATATTAAATGATTACTTAAATGTTACACAGCTGATTATCATCTGAAAAAAGCATCTTCTCAAAATTTCAGCCTGAGACTCCTGAAAAGAGCTCACTCTCGCCATCTGGTGGCACTAAACTCAAATCACAAGACCAAGGATTCTATAGTAGTTTTGTATTTTATAATGTCAAAAGGTTGAATTTGGATATATAATACTACAACTATTACTGAGACATTAGTGAATGAAATAATACAAATTTTATACAATAAAACAGATCAGGATTAAATAAAATTTAGGTAAGTTTTATCTGAGAGGCTAATTTGTGAAGTGACTTGTCTCACTAATCAGAAAGTAAGATGAGAAAGCCAATAAGGTGGTTACTAAGTCAGTAATAGAAGCATAAGACAGTTTTTAAAACTATCACGGTCACTCAGTGGTCAATGCCCCACACCCGCTTCAATCTCCAGTACCAATAAAATATAGTTGGTATATTGTCTGGAAAGCTATGGATGAATATTCCTTGTAATATCTCCCTAGAAAGGAGATCAACTTTGAACTGATGACCATTTTCTTGGCTGAAAAAAAAATCCATTCATTTGAGAAAAAGCACCATCCTAAATTGGTGGTAATGTAGGGAGGATGATTTATATATATAGATATATCTTCTCAAAAGTTTTGTATTTCTATTTTTTTTATTTAATATAAAGATATAAGGGCACAGGACAGAACTATTTACAGGGTAATTATCCTAGAAAAAAGTATGATATATTTGTATGAAATATAGATGTGTATGAAATAAATGTATGTGTATCCATAAAAAACTATCATGATAAATTAAACAATACATTTAACTATCAGTAAAGTATCTCCAAATGCCACTAAAATAAGAATGAATATAAAAATAAACTCAGAAGGACATAAAAACGAGAGGAAGCAACACTAGAAAGCTGTTAAATTATTAAAGAGGTAAGGATGGAAGATGGTTTAGCTGAGCCAAGAAGTGCTTATTGGGGCGAGGAGGAAAGTAAGTCGGTATCTGAAAATTTGAACGCCACTCAATCCTAGAAAGCTAAGGATTTAATAACAAGTACTTAGAAAAGTATAGATGAATCAAGAGCCTGTGCACAGAGGAGTTAAAATCTTTTTAAGAAGCAAAGTTTCCCTAAGGAGGCCTCTAGCCATCTCTCTGAGCTGGCTTTTCGGTGTGGGAGCTGAACACAGAGGATACAGGCGAGGAGGTGGGTGAGAGACGAGAGTCCCTGCGAGGGAAGCTCTAGTATATTGTTCGGGACTTGAAATCTCCTCAGCCCTCCAGGCCTTACCAGGTTCATCCCCTCCCTCCCATGACAAAGCCCCAGACTCACTCCCAAAGGGTAGGAGAGAAGGAGCTGAGGGAGGGTGAAGCAGTGCCATAGCAGGTCTGGACCGGCAGAGTGGACTCCTGGGTGCTTGTCACAAGCTAGAACTGCTGCTATCCAGGGGGCCAGGCTGGGGCTGCAGCTCTTGGACCTGCTTGGGTTGCCAAGTGCTGACATGCTGAGCTGGACTCTAGTCATGGCGTTTAGTGGCCCAGTGTTTGTGTTTTGTCTTTCTGGGTTACGGTAGTTTGTGTACCACAATAAGAAGTGGAACTGGGAGTTAAACTGAATCAGTTTTGCAGTAAAGCCTAATCTTGTTAAATAAATAAAGCTTTGAATAAAAAAAAAAAAAAAAAAGAAGCAAAGTTTCCAATCCCTCTGAAAGAGATCGATTACAATGGATGTAACCAAATAAATGAAGTAAGAATCAATGAGTAAAGAGTGACGATACATTAACAAACTGAAGACAAAGCGCTACCTTATAATATACAACGCCAGTTAACAGATGGAAAAGGAATGATGAAGTGAAAATAATTCTGCAATCATGATAAAAACTGATTTATGTCATAATCACAGTAAGTAAGTAAGGTGAAAATTTCATCAGGAAAAGATAGGCAATGTCTCAAAACATCTTCCCACAAAAGGAAAAAATATTAACTTCAGAGGAGAAACCCAGCAAAGTAAGTAAATCTGGGTTAATGTAACCAAAAGGACACAGTGTCTCCTGTTGTGATGCCCTGAGATAAACAAAGCATCAATGTAAGTTGTATTGTGTGGAAAAAAAATATACAACCTGTATAAAATCATGAAGATTTTTGAGATAGTCAACACCACAACTGATCTGTACTTTTCGAACACATCAAGGTGATGAAAGAAATACTGAGGTGCTTTTTTGAATTAAACAGTGCAAGGGGAGGAGAGAGTCCATACACAGAGGTAGCCCAGCATGAAGATTTAACTCAAGCCATGTCAGGACAATGACCATTGAGTGGAGTGAGGCCCAGGATTGAGAGTAGAGTCCTGCACACAGAAACGGGTGGTGGTGATGACTTGTTACATGAGGAGGATAGATTAAATAGGAAAATATGTTAAAGGACAACTACCAGACATTTCACAAATACAGAAAGATAGAAAATTAGAATGAACCTGTCACAGGTGACAACTGGAGGAACTGACATGATCTCATAGTTTTAAAATAAATATATACACACATACACTATATGTATGTGTACAAGGACCCATAGGTCCTTGGAGAAATGGTAGATTCTAGACTAGGGTTACAAAATACAGGTTGTCAGCCTGAATTATCTTGAGCCAACAAGAACACAAGTGCTCAAAAACTGATGAGAACAAATTAAAAGAAACCAGCTTGAAGAGGTTTCTACTGACCAAATTAGAGATAATTTGAGCATTCAAGTAAATGTCAAGTAACAGATTATAATCCTTTGAATGTAACAGGAAACCATGAATTCATAGATATAAATGCATAAAAAAAGGCCAATGAGAAAAAGTATAAACAGATTCAAGGTATCTCAAAATACCCTATTACAAAGGGAAAAGAATAATTTTTCCAGCAGAGAAGGAAAAAACTCAAGTGCTTACAGAGATCATCAGGAGTAAACAGAGAAACTGAAATCACAAAGCATCAGAAAGAACACATGGAGAAGAAAAGAACATCACTTCTGTGGTATTCCCAAAGACTCAAATTGAAAGCTGTGTATGGAAGGCAAAGAACCGCCAAATGAGGAAGATGAGGAGGAAGAGGAAAAGGACAATAGCAGAGTTGATGGATTATATAATGAACAATAATGGAAAATTATTTGAAAGATTCAAGAAGGTATATGGGAAGAATTAAAGAGATATTTAAACAAATTGGGGAGGATGTAGGAGTAAGAATTTTCATCTACACAGTGGACAATCAGTATACATCTAAAAGTGACAAAGAACCAGTGGTAAGAGGATATTATTTACAGATATAATGGTACATACATATGTAAGAATAAAAGTTAAAGTTGAAAGTGATTGTTTCTAGGGAATAAAGAAGTAACAATACTGTTGGTGACAAATGATCTACATAACAAGACATATGAAAGCAAATGTCATCTATAAAAGGCCTCAGAGTAAATATTTGAGGCTTGTGGGTCACAATTACTAAGCTATGCTATTGCAAAACAAAAGTATCAAAAGACAGTGAATCTTTGAGTGTGGCTACATACCAATGTAATTTTGATTATCTACGTTAAAATTTAAATTTCATGGATCACAAAATAGTATTCTTTTGCATTTTTTTTTTTAAAGAAATTTAAAAATTTAGAAACCATCTTAAGGTATTTGGTTATTTAAAAAAAAAAGGTATTAGGCTGCATTTGGCTTGTGTTTGTCAACCCTTAAGTTGTGGTCCATTCAGAACGAATTTGCAAACATACCCCTTTTATTGTTCAGCATGTACTATAGCATCATTTACACATTCTTACCTGGTGGCATAAGTTTCATAAGCACTCTTGCTCCATCTCTAAGAGGTGGCATGTTTAGGCTACTACCCAAGTCTGCAACTTGCCAAAGGAAAGAGATGTATCTAGGATGCAGTGACATTATCTAGAATACAAAATATATGAATTACCTGTAAATCATCCCCCACAAAAAACATAATCCAAAGAAGTTAAACTCCATAATTTGTTCATCTCATGTCTACTCTGATATAGTTAGCTTTTGGCATCTTCTCACCTTTACTAATCCTTCCTGATACAGACTGAACACCTTATCTAAGACACTTCCAGTAACTTCTTTGTGATGGCTCTTTTACTGTTCTACTAAATTTCTCCCACATATACAACTTAAAACTCTGGACATACAAAAGGATACTATTTGCACTACTCAATTCCTAATCAAACTGCTGCTGGGAGCCAAATTCTTCTGACACCGGAATAGCTGGTGTTACTGTAGTCAAAGATTTTTGTGGAGAGGGGACAAAGGAGATGTCAAGAAAGGGAGAAATAACTGCTTCTATGGAGGATATTCTGCTGACAATCTAAGAAGATTACAGATATTTTCCTACATAAACAGTTTTAAATAAAGGACCCATTTTATTCTGGTACTAGGGATTGAACTCAGGGGCACTAGGCCACCGAGGCACATCCTCAGCCCTATTTTGTATTTCATTTAGAGACAGGGTCTCAACTGAGTTGCTTAGTGCCTTCCTTTTGCTGAGGCAGGCTTCAAACTTATGATCTTCCTGCCTCAGCCTCCAGAGCTGCTGGGATTACAGGCATGCACCACCACACCTGGTGACAATGATATTTTTTGAAATTTATATATTTGAGTATTATAATTAGGCTCTAATAGATTACTTCAATGTAAACACATCATATGTATCTATAGGGAAATTGTTTTACACTTCAACTGAGTTACAATCACCATTTAGAGCAATCCATTTTAACATTGATGGTCAATAGTTGATAACAATTGTAAACTCAAGAAAAAACAAGTATTTTGTATACTTCTTTATTCTCAAGATTCTAGCTAGCACAATGTCTTACACACAGTAAGTGACAACTGCATCTACTCACCACTCCGGGCAAACAACTTTCCACTTCTGGATTGGGACCATCACTGTAATGGTTACCGTGATTTCCAGGAGATCCAGTTGAGGAATCAGAAGAGCTATCAGGGCTTGAAGGCATATTGGAACTTATTTGCGTAAGTTTGGCTGTAATCAGCTGAAAAGGACATAATGTATTAGTATCAAAGACAAGGAAAAATATTTACACAAAACCCAACTCAGAACCTAGTGACATACCAAGAAAACACCCTAAAATGACATGCTATATTTTTGAAATTTTTTAAATTACCTTATATAACCCACTTAGTTTTTAGAAATCTTTTATTCTGATATTTTGTAGGTGTCAGTATGCCTGTTTTAGTTAGCAGTATAAGCCCAAACACCTAACACAGCCTTATGCATAATAAATAAAAAGCATTTCTTGAATGAATTAATAAATAATCTCAGGTTTAGTTTTATCAAAAAAAATTAGCAAGTATACATACTTTACTTACCGATTTATCTTTAAGGTTTAATTGTCCAATCAACTTCCTATCGTCTCCAGGATCTATTAGCTCACCGCCCACAAAGAGCTCAATTTTTGTATGGGCTACATTGGCTTTAATGCGATTGAGAATACATCGTCGAACTGAACCAATTGTATCATTTGTATGAGACCATACCTCCAGATCATCTACCTGTCTGCCCTGGTTTGGAAATCGAACTACAAAAGAGAGGTGTTTGCCACGGAAAGCTCTGCGGGGGACGAAAAAAAGGAAAACATTATCATATTCAGCAGTCTTTCAAATCCTGTGGCCAAGAAAATAAAGCTAGGAATTTAACACTGAGTATTTTCTTATTAAATAAGGGGAAGTGAATTAAAGATACTTATTATTTTTAGTATCCTCAGAATGAAAAATGATCGCTCCTTTTAACTACAAGTAACTTCAAAACACAACATGTTTGTTAATTTTCTACTACAGTTGCTGAAAATGATGGATATGACTCAAGGAAATTAAGACAGTGACAGAAAAATTCACTTATTTTTATGGTATAAAAGCCAATTAAGACTTTGTAAATGTGAAATGTAAACGTTACCTTGAGAACATCAACAAAAATGCTAATATATATTTTCCCTGAAAAACTCTAAATATGAAAATTCACCCGAAAATGATATTTATGTTAGCATATTACCTTCTTTTAGTTAAGATACAAAATACAAATCATACTAAAGGAGTAATTTTATCTAATTCTTAAAAGGCAAAAAAAGATGACACTTTATATAAATGGCATTTAAATTACTAAATGATGAAACCTTAAGAAAAATGTTACTTAGCCCATATGAAAATCTTTTTTCATTTTTTTAAAAAAATATATTTTAGTTGTCAATGGACCTTTATTTATTTATATGTGGCGCTGAGAATCAAACCCAGTGCCTCACATATGCTACGCAAGTGCTCGGCCACTGAGACACAACCCCAGCTGCTGAAAATGTTATATTTCTTCTTATATTAGCTATCTATAATGGCAGCTTTAAAAAGTTCTAATTACTCCCCAATCTGACTAAGCTATTATTTTTAATAGTTAAAAAGGCCACTATTGCAAACATTCTGTATGATACAAATAACTCAGTTTTTCTATGTTTTGCTATGTTGCCCAGGTTGGTCTTGAATTCAGGATTCTCCTGCGCTAGCTTCCCGAGTTGCTGGGACTACGGGTATGCATCATCACACCTGGCACAAATAATGTTTTTAATGGGCAAAACACTAATATTTTGTAAAGATTTCCTCACTCTTTTTACCTGTATCGTCTTTTTCAATCATAAGATTAGGAAAATACCCAATAATTAAGAATTAGCACTAGTTGATCAGTTATTCACAAACCTTGACATAGGTAGAATTGTTCTTTCCTCATGATAATCACTGTCACATTCATTTATATATTCTCTTAAAACAGTTAATACTCGAACCATTCGAACTGCTTCTTGTCTTGCACAATTAATACTGTCTTTGTCACCGTCCAAAACACACAACGTGTCATAAGAAGCTTTCAAGCGATCAAAGCAAGACTGAATGAAGTCTTCGTGGATCACCACCTACAAATAACAGGCCAAATAAAGATAGTTCAAGTTGCTCTAAGATGGAAAAATTAAACATATAACATTAACTTAAACAGAGATGACAATGGCTAATTTAAAGATAGCTCTCAATGAGACTCGGTCTATAGTAATAAAAAAACACATCAAGGTTTTTCTTTTCTGTCTTTTTTAAGGAAGCTAGTGTTAATGGAAATTACTAGGATAAAGTAGGTTTCCAAAATGAACTTTAAAAGATTAGGTACTAGTATCAAAACAAATTCAGTAAATCTCTTTGCCATTTCAACAGATGATTAATAATCATATTCAAACAAATTAAGCCAGCCATATATGTCAAGATTCACTTATATATTTTGTTTAACAGAAATATGAACTTTTTACCAATATTTTTGATAACTAGAAATTGTTTTGTTCCAGCTCTTAATTCTGAATAAAATTCTTGGGGCTGGGGCTCGGTGGTAGAGCATTCGCTTAGCATGTGCGAGGTGCTGGGTTCAAACCTCAGCACCACATAAAAATAAATAAAACTATTGTGTCCAACTGTAACTAAAAAAAGAAAGAATAAAATTCTTACAGGACACAGAGTGCCAAGTGTTACCAACTGGTACTCTAATTAATGTGGGAATTGGTTTTATTTATTTATTTTGCTTATGGTACTGGGGATTGAACCCAGGGCCTTGGCCATGCACAGCAGTTGAGAAAGGGTCTCACTACGTTGCCCAAGTTGATCTGGAACTTGCAATCCTCCTGCTTCGGCTTCTCAAATGGCTGGGATTACAATCATGTGCCACTGTGTTTGGTGTATGTGGATGTCTTAAGCACACAGATTCTTACCTGATTAACCTGTAGCCTTGGACCAAGGTTTGTGTATATCTCTTTCAATAGATCTATAGCTCTGCTGGCAATATCATCATTACTCTGAATCACAACCTAGGTTCAAAAAGATTGAAATGTTAATTCTCAAGACATGTTTAGTTGATCATATGCTCAATTATTTTTAATATACTCTTCAAAAATTAATATTTAATTATAATCTGACTTTAATAATCAAGTGAAACTGGTAGAAATAGACCAAAAGAATAAATGAAAAATTTTAGTCTTTGAATAAAGAAAACTATTTAAGAATGAGACATTTTACTTAAGATAAAATAATCTTTGACCATTATTATTTAACCCTATAATTTTAACATCTTATTAACCAAGTCGTAAGGCATTACAGGAGGAATTCAAATTAGTTGAAAGGAAGGAAGAGAATAGTGAAATAGTTTAGCATACTCTCCTTCCACTCCCAGTTTCTAGAAAGCTTTATCACCCATCTAATTACATTAGTGGTTTTCAAACTATGTTCAGAATCTAAGAGGGCTTAAAGGAGGTGTTTCAGTGCTGACCACTCTAAGAGGCTTGGGGACACCAAACAACAACAAAACCCACAGGATTTCTTTGTTTGATTAGATTTACATTTTGGATTATTACGTGAATTTTGATTTTTAAAATCCATTTCCGCTGTTTAAAATTTTAGTGTGTGCTAAGGATCCCCACTAACCTTTTCTGCTGCTACAAAAAAGCTGAGAACACTTTCTTAAAAATGTTTTAAATACTCGTATACCACACTAAACATTTTAGTCTACCTATGGTTTAGATTTCTATGAAATAATGTTCTAAGAAAACGATATAAAGTGCTGTATAACAGGTCAGATTTAGTTTTTTTTTCTTAGCTTTTTTTAAATTTTATTTTTTAGTTGTAGTTGGACATAATACCATGATTTTATTTATTTATTTTTATGTAAGGATCGAACCCAGGGCCTTGCACGTGCTAGGTGAGCACTCTACCGCTAAGCCACAACCCCGTCCCCGATTTATGTATTTTTTTTGTGTATGATACTGGGGATTCAACCCAGAAACTCTAATTGAACTACATCCCAAGCTCTTTTTGTTTTAATTTTGAAACAGGATCTCATGTTGAACTTATGATTGTCTTGCCTCCCAGTTGCTAGGATTATTAAGTGTGTACCACTGTACCTGGCAATAGGTCAGCTTTTTAAAGATAGGAATAATATATAAATACTATAAAAGATGGAAAGATTAGCCTTAAATAGATATTATACTTCCCTAACTATTTACCAATATAAGTTTAACAGTGCCCATAAAGTACACACTCATAATCCTGTCTATAAATAAAGTCTTCTTTTCTGTCCTCTGTTTTAGTGTCAAACATACAATGAACTAAAATTAATAACGAAGGAAGATCTACAATGAATGAAACTGGGGTGGAGCGGATTAACTTCCATGGGGAAATTCATTAAAGATTTGTATGGTTAGCATACTCCTACACATAAACAAACACGAAATTTCAAGCCAGACAACAGGAACACCAGTGGCAGAATGAGGGAGATGGAAAGAAAGAATACAGAAAAAAACTCTCAAATGACAAAAGATACAGTAAGATCAAGATGAACCACTACCATCCCAGAAGCCCGGGCTATACATCAGAGCAGAATACATACATATCTATATGTAACTTTATAATTCCTACAGATAATGTTTACAGAGTTCCTACTTTTGACTTACCCTCCAAAGATAGTCTAATCCTATCAACTCCAAATCATCCATCATATAGGCTCTCCTTTTTGCTACTAGTTTTCCTTCTCGACAATTCACAGCTTTGAAGAATCGCTCAAAACATTTCATTCCATTTTCAGTTAATAGGGAAGGATCAAGCTGAAGCACATTACTTTCAAAGAAGTCCTTATTAATATCAGGATCTAAGTCTGGTTCATCCCCCATCAATTTGGAATACCACTTAAAACAGGCTTCACGATCACAAAGGTAAACTGCATTCTCAGCTAAGCATTTCCATATTTGTTTTGCCTGAGGAGCACATAGCCACAGTTGGCCATCCTTCAATAAAAATCTTGGAAAAACATAAAAAATTGGCAATTAGATTTACATAATTTTTATCCTGAAAGGCAATCTATCCGTATATGTATGAAATAATACATTTATCACAATTATTTTTTTTTAACTACAGATAAAAAGATGTCAGTTCTTTCACAGGAACCTATTTCTCAACTTTTATCTAGTACTAAAAAAAAAAAAAAAAAAAAAAAAAATACTAGATAGGAATTCATTCAACACGCCTGTACAAGGCACCCAGTATAAGCCCTATGGAACTTCACTAAATGATTATAAATAAAACATTCATTCCTTGAATTCAAATAGGTCAGTCTGTGAAACCAGCCATTTTCGAAGTATATTCAATCAATAATTTGAGTTTAAAATAATGAAGATTTGGCATTGTTTAAATGGCATCACTGGGAAATGAGATATTCATAGCTCATTAATATTTATGGGTCAAAATTACTTCCATTTTAATACTTTCTGATGACCTAGTAGCCATCATTTGTTACTTGATCACACTGAACCCAATAACATGTATGACTTAAACAATGGTCAATAATCAATAGGATGCCTATCAATCATTTGGTGGTGCTCTCTAGGGTCTTTTAGTTTTCTGACTATTGGATTGGTCATTAAGAACAGACAGTAACCAAGGTGAATTCTGCTATAAATAGTCCTTTTTGGTAAAGCTTTCTAATTTCCTTTGGCATCCATTAACCCACCCTGTTCTGCCATGTGTATGAGACAGGGAACACCTCACTTTATTCTGAGTAATGTAACATAATAATTTTTAGCTAACACCATAATGGCAGCCACATGCCCAATGAGAGTAAGTGCATTTACTTAAATGTTAGGAGGTTCCTTTTCCTTTTCAAATCATTTTTGGATCTCAAATTAAGGCTTTTGATATTTTCACAGAACACACTTCTACCTAACCCTGACAACCTCTACTTTATAGATCAAAACAATGGAGGTCCAATGTGGAAAAAACACAATTGCTTTCAAAGTTTATTTAATTTTGTTCTAAAGACATCAGCAGAAACCTTTTTTCAAGTGAAAATAACTTTTAGAAATCTGATACAAAAGCAGAGCTGCTCCAATTCTTAGGAGAGGTAAAGAAAGGAATGAGAAATGGGGTTGAAACTTCTCTCTGCTTATTTTAAAAAATTTTCACGGAATCTACTCAGAAGTCCTAAAACTCCAAGTCTGAAAAATTACTCATCTAATAGGAAGAACACAGACCTGTGGAGAAGTGTAATTCTATCCCATACTGTCTATGTGATTTCAAAAAAGCTACTCTAAGTCATTTGAATCTTGTTTTCTTCCGGATATCACCTACCCTCACACTATGCTATGAGTTGTAAGGTGTTTAACACAGGCCAAATACACAGCAGCCATTAATTTGGTTCCTTTGCTTTAAATCTGTTGTTACAAGTCACACAGGTAAGAACTAATAAGTAGGGGTCACAATAGGTCCCCCTGATCTTGATCTTTAATTAGAGAAAACAGGGCTTGCAACTGCTTTTCTGTTCTAATAAGCCAAAGGGATACAAGATACACCAATCATTAATGACGACTCACTATTGCAGTGATTTTAAACCTGGGAAGCAGACACCTCTATGTGAGTGGTCAAAAAACAAATTTAAAAACTCCCCGTAAAACTACTTCACATTAAACAAATGCCAAATTTAAAATCTGGTTGAGTTTTTCTTAAGTCAAAATCATTCTAATTACTTAAAAATAAAGAAACAAAGTTCAATAAATAGAAGTCCCTAATTAACAAACCCCAGGAAGATACTCTTTCTAGAACTTTTAACAAAATAATAAATATGATAGATTTTCTAAAGTACATAATTTGGGCATTTTTAGCACACTTATTATAAGAAAAAAATTCTGCTATATAATGTGTTTTATTTAATCCTTTAAGATACATCAAAAAATTTAACCATAGATATTTTTGATATTTTTCAAATGTATAATCATTAAAAGCTCAATCACCAAGAAAATACAGTTTTGGGCATTTCACTTAGTGGAATAAACCTTATTTTCCTCATCCTAATTAGAAATCATGTTTCTAATGTGACCCCAAATTGCCCTTGCCAGGCATTGTCAAGATAAACAAGGCACTAAAGGACTAAAACCACTTTTCTTAGGCGCTGGCCCAGCAACCTTTTGTCTCAACTTTCTTGGTGTCTATAATATCATGGAGATAGGTGTGGTTCTCTGTCCAGTTGTGTGAAAATATGGAAATCTATGCTTTAAAAATAAAAATAATTCCCACAATGAATATGAGAAGTCTACTCTAAAAAGCTTAAAATGTGTTTTCTTTAAATACTGCAAGAAAGTCACAACTCAGCCATTAATTTTAGAGTATTCAGTAACAAAAATAAGGAGATGTTGTATGTCTTTTAGGCAATGATTTTCACAATTAAAAAAAAAAAAGTAGTAAGGGGAAAAGACCACCCAATGAAGATGTAGCTGTACAGCATATTCCCTCTACATTCCTTTTCTATGTCTTAGAAAACAATGGAATTATATAAAACAAACCTAAGGAAGTTAAGCCGTTCTTGGACTTCTTGAACATGACTATATCTACTTCCCAGCCTCACAGTTTGTGGGTCATAGTCTTCATGGTCTGCAAATTAAGAAAAATCATGCATTATACACATGGATACTCATATCAATTGTTTCTATCAAAGAAATTTTCAATTAAAAAAACTCATTAATCTTTTAACATTAGAAAGCAACTTGAAATCTACTTATAAGTGGTAGTTTTGAGTATTAAACATCTCCTTTTTTTGTCCCCATGAAAGAGAAACTTTCCATTCCTTTTACATGATCAAGAGAGATAAGGATCTGTTAACACCAGGAATTCTTCAGCATAACCCTTAAACTATACAATGAAGCAATTGATTAGAGGCTAACACTCATCTGAGGGGTACGTAAAAACAGGCAACCAAGACAAAATATATTTTTTATTCAATTTAGTACCCATTATACTGAAATCTGCCTTTGCAGAAAAAAAAGAAAAACTTCAGTATAATAAACAAATCACATTACTAATTTATAATTGGAAGGACAGGGTAACACAAAATGCTACACTACATGACCAACGTATCATACCACCAATACCATGTCATGGATGTCGCTTCCCTTTAACATTAAATACAGATATGGCTATACTAGATTCTGGACTTCAGAGTATGCGTGCAGTACTGCCAAAGAATTCCAAATGCATGGTGCCCTTTGGAAATAGTATAGGTAATCAATGTCTTCAAAGAGAGTGAAGTTTCTTCTCTAAACAGCTGGATGTGCTGTAATAACAGGACGTTTACAATGTTGTGGAAATATTGTTTTTGACGCTTTGGTGATGAAAGAAGCTCCATGTATTATGACTGCTTTCTACCTGCGAAAATATTATTAGCTGCCAACAGTCCTAAATACGTGTTATCTAATTCCAGAAAAGTCAATTTCATTAGGGCTCAGAACTTAAAGCACTATGTCAAGAAAATGGATAGAAAATCAAATCCTATTCTGTCACATAAAAATTTTCTTTTTACAGCACTAGACTGAGAAGTACACTGACAAATGCTGGATTTCAAAAATCCACCAATTTAAATACCTTCCCCCACCACCTAATATTCGGAATTCATGAACAGTTGTATTTTTGGCAGGTACTGTTTTTAAGGGTAAACTTTTTAATAATTTCAAGCAAGTTTTAGAAATATAAGAATTTCCTTATAATCTGTAACCGTATTCACCTATTATTTATATTTTGCTCCATTTGCTTCATTAGGTGCCATGTATACTCAACATGTATACTAAACTATTTGACAGTGAACTGGAGACCTGTCCTTTTACTCCAAAATACCTCAGCTCTTCCAAATAACAAGGAACTGCACACTATTGATATTTTAGGCTGGACACTTTGTTGTATGGGACTGTCCTGTGCACTATAAAATGTTTAGTAGCATTTCTGGCCTCCACCCACAAAGATAGATTTGCTTCTACCCAAAGTTAAGAACTATCAAAAAGAGGTCACCCCACGAAAGTAACACTAAGGCACATCCTGTCACTTGTGGCAACACTTAACAAAGCTACCTTTCGCTACATGGTCAAAATGGTTTCTACTAGGTTTCTCCACTGCAAAGTCATCATTTTTACTAATTTGCTTTAGCAACCAACCTCTGCTCTTCTAAATTTAATTACCAACCATAGACAAAGGATAGAATTCAAGAGTCAATGAAAGCTAAACAATAATCAAGAAGTAAGAAGGTCCCACTGTGCTAATTAAGAAGGATGAAGACGCCTTCTCACACAGAGAAGCTTCCAGACAACGTAAACAAAAACACAATCTGGTTGATTTTGTTGTAAACATTCTGATGCAAATACCTTGATTCATTAATAGTCAAATAAGGAGGATGATCCATTTTTGACATGTTGCCAGAGGTGGCGGATAACCCACTGAAAACGGGAGGAGTAATGACATGAGATCAAATTAAGTCAGGTGTCTTTGAAAATCGGTGGGAAACAGTGGTGAATCATGGCTGAGACAATATAAATTGTCTCTTGTCCTCATAAATAGCAAGTTGTCTAGGACCCATTTCAGAACTCATGAAAGAGAACTTTAATTAGTTAACATTTATTGAAATGTGACTCAAATACCATAAAAATCCACCAATTTAAAGCATACGATTCAATTTTTTGAGCTATATATTCACCATCACTATCTGCCCATTTTTACTTACCTCCCAACCCTTTGTCTATTTGAAACATTTCATACAAAAGTAATCAATGCAACACCTAGTGTTTTCTCATTGGCTTTTGTCCACTTGGCATGTTTTCAAAGTTCATACATGTTGTATCATATATTCTTTTTAAATGCTGAATAGTATATATACATTGTATTTATTCATTCATCAAACATTAGACACTTTGGGGGTTTCCACTTTTTGGCTATTATGAATAATATTGCTACGAACATTCATGTACACACATTTGCATGAATTTGTTACCATCTCACTTGAGTATATAACTGGAAACAGATCATAAGCTTTAACATTTTGAGCAACTGCCAACATGTTTAACAAGGTGGCTGCACAACTTTGCAACTCCACAAGCCATGTATGAAGCCTTCAATTTCTCTGCATCCTCACCAACACTTGCTGCTACCTTGTCATTCTAGTAGGGGCAAAACAGCTTATATTAGTATGGTTTTGATTTGCATGTCCTGAATAACTGATGATACTAAACTGCTTCTCTATTCAGATCCTTTGCCCACTTTTTAATAATTAGGTTGTCCTTTAATTGTCAAGTAGTAAAAGTTCTGTATATAATCAAGATACAAGTCCCTCACTAGACATGATTGGTAAATACTGTCTCCTATTTTTCCTCACATGTCTCTTCATTTTCTTGATGCTGCTTTCACTTGTAGCAGGTAATTTTGAGAAACTCATGTAGTTCAATTTACCACCCTTCCTTTTTGCTTTTTTCGGCTGAATCACTTTGCTTTCCCTAACCCAAGGTCATATAAATGCATAATAACTATTTCTTCTAATAGCACTATACCTTTAGCTGTTATTTTTGGGTCTAGGATTCATTTTGAATTAATTTTTAACATATGGTATGAGGCAAAAAGACCCAACTACAGTCTTTTAGATGTGAATATCCAATTGTTCCAAAAACCTTTGTAAAAAAAAAAGGGGGGGGGGGAGGCTGTTCATTTTCCACTGTTAGGTTTAGCACCCTTGTAAAACTTAATCATAAATGTGAGGGTTTATTTCTGGACTGTCAATTATACTTCACTGACAGATACGTTTATCTTAGTGCCAGCACCACAATGTCTTATTGTTGCTTTGCAGTACGTTTTGAAACCAGGTGGTTAGAGTCTGCTAACTTTGGTTTTGAAATTTGTTTTATTTGAGCCCTCTGTGTTTAGAATCAGCTTTGTCAATTTCTGCAAGAAAATAAAGCAGGCTGCAATTTTTATAGGGATCATACTAAATCTGCAGATCATCTTGGGGACTATTGTCATCCTTTATTCCATTTCACGCTGCTATGACTGAATACTTGAGACTGGGTGATTTAGAGAGAACAGGGAGTTAATTACAGTTCTGGAGGCTGGGATGAGAAGTATCCACAGCTGGTGAGGACCTTCTTGCTGGGTCATCTTATGGTGATAGGTAGGAGGGCCAAAAAAGAGCATGAGGGACCAAACAAGAGGGTTTTTTTGTTGATTTTTTTTTTTTTTGGTACCAGGTATTGAACTCGGGCATACTCTACCACTGAGCCACATCCCCAGCCCTACTTTGTATTTTTGATTTAGAGACAGGGTCACTGAGTTGCTTAGTGCTTAGCAGTTGCTAAGGCTGGCTTCTGGCAATTCTCCTGCCTCAATTTCCCAAGCCGCTGGGATTACAGGTGTGTGCCACCACACCCGGCCAAACTAGCTCTCAAACAAGCACATTCTCGCAACATCCAACTTGCTTTCTTGATGAGGACATCAGTTTACATGATCTAATCACCTTTTCTTGGGTCCCAGCTCCCCACACTGTTGGATTTTCCAATACATGGACTTTGGGTGACACATTCAAACCACAGCATTACCTCAACAATATTAAAGTTCTCCACGCCATGAATACAGGATGGCTTTGAAAAAAAGAGACCTAAATAATCACAAAGTTTTGTAACTTCCTGTCCTCTCGTTTATTTCTCATTATTTTTTGATGCTACTGTAATTAAAACTGTTTCATTATTTCATTTTCAGGTTTTTCACTCCTAATGTTTATTAATTTTGTTTCCTGTAATGCAGTTGAACACATTTACTCATATCCTATGGTATTATAAACATATATAGTCTTTTACTTTATCCATTTCAATCTAGAAGCTTTTTACATTTTGGTGGCAGGGGTACCTAGTTAGCCTGCGTAAAATGTCAAATAGAGTGTTCAACAGAAGCAGCTAGAATATAGAAACTCGTCTCACTCCCAATTCTAGGGGGAAAGTAACCAGTCTTTCAGCATGAAGTAGTACACTACTGTGTGTTGAGTTGCTTTGTGTTCCTGGTTTATTGAGCATTTTTATAATAAGAGGGTCACAGGATTTTATTAAATGTGTTTTCTGCATCTACTGAGATGATTACATAATACTGGTAGTTTCTACTATCATTGGGTGGAGCGTTCTATAGATAACCATTACAATGAGTTAATTCACAGTGTTCCTCTTCCTTTTTTCCTGAAGATTTTGAGTCATTGCTGTCATTTGCTTTTCACTTAACTACTTCCTTTAGGATTTCTTGCAAGTCTGACAATAATGAATTCTCTCTTTGGCCTTCACTTTTACTGAATGCAAGAGTCTTGATGGTTGGGTCCATCCCTCAACACTGGCACTTCGAACCTGCTGTCCAATTGCCTTCTGGCCTCTGATGTTTCAGACAAGAAGTCAGCTGTTAATTGTTACTAGGGTTTCCTGTGAGGAGGAAAATATTTTATCTATCATATCCAAGATTGGGCCTCTCTGTATTTTTCTTACTTGGAATTCTATTTTCTTGGACTTATAGGGTAGGGTCTTTCACCAAATTTGGGAGGTTTTCAATGGTTACATCTTTTTTTTGTTCCCTTTTCTCTTACCTATCTTCTGATATTCCCATTAGATGTATGCTGATGTGCTTGTGTCTCATACCTTCCTGAGGCTGTTGATCCTTTTTCTTCTGTTTTTTATTTTATATAATCCCAATTGATTTGAGTTCACTGATTCATTCTTTTGCCAGCTCAAATCTGTTGAATGCCTATGGTTATATTTTTAAAGCGAAGAATTCACATGTTGCCTTTTTCCCTTTATTATTTAAAATAATTTCTTTGATATTCTGACATTGTCATTATTACTTTTTTTTTGTACTGGAGCTTGAACCCAGGAGTGCTTAACCACTAAGCCACATCTATAGCCTCCCCCACCCCATGCCTCTTTAACATTTTATGTAGAGACAAGGTCTCGCTAAGTTGCTGAGGCTGGCTTTGAACTTACCATCCTCCTGCCTCAGCCTCCAGAATAGCTGGGATTACAGGCTTGCACCTCACTACTACTTTAATTGTTTAGACATGGTTTCCTTCAGTTTTCTGGGCATCTTTGTACTTTTTAGTCTTTTACAAAGTCTACCATCTGGGCCCCTTCCAAGGCAGTTTCTGCTGGGCCACATCTTTCTGTGTTTAGAAGCCTCATTTTTCATTGAGATGAAGATGTTTTAGAAATATATTGCAGCAACTTGGATACTGTTTACTGGGTTATCAGAAGTCATGGTGCTCAGCCACTGACAGCTCCGCTCACGGGTTTTCCCCTTGTTTTTATCTTTTACCATGGCTATGTAGGGGTCGCTCCTGGGTCAGTATAACCCTTTATTGGTCAAACTTGTACTTGAGACCCCTTCACTAGATTATTATCCATAACCACTGGGTATATGTGAGACTCAGAGGCTGTTATTACAGTTATTACTTTTTTTTGGTCCTAGTAACTTGGATGCTCCCTTTTCAATTGTTCCAGAAAAGAGGCAGTTATTCCAGACTTCTGGGAATACATGCAATTTTGAAGCTTGGCTTCCTAGGAGTTCTTCCTGATTCAGGCTATCTTATTGTTCATCCAGTGTTCTGTTCGGTCAGGAGTTGCATATGAGCACAAAAGTATGGGTATTTGCGAAGTGTGTATACTGCACTCAACCTAGTTTCTCTCACGATTTTGGCTGTCTTTGGTATAGAACGTGTATCACACGTTTGCACGCCTATACTGCCTTCACTGTTCTAGCCTGCTGCTTATAAGGAACACAGGACAGAAATGATAAAAGGTCACTGTCTGATGCCCATCACCTGCCTAACTCTTAGACTGCTTGTCCAGTTCTACCATCTGGAAATGATCCAAAGAGAAAAAAAAGGAAGAACAAAGGCAACAAAGTCAGTAGGGCCATCTGAAGAATTGCTTAATTCTTCCTTTGTGTTTATCTGAATTGTAAGGGTTAAGCAAAAGTCTGGTGATTTATAAGTACTATGGAATTTTATTCAACAATGTTGAGTCTACTCTGCTTCTCAAATAATGAGTATTGCAAATGTAATTATTTTTCACATACACTATTGGCTTCTCCAGGTCCTAGTATAACATGTTAAATGAGTGCTATGTTTAGTAAATATTATGTTCAAGTCTGTCTTTAACAACGATGATATAAAGTTATCTATGGCTCTGGGAACAAACTATAAGGTGATGGTGGGGGCAGATGTGTATTAACTCATCTATACTCTAGCACACAAACAATCCTGACACAACTATTAAAAAGAAAAAAAAAAAAAAAAAAAAAAGCATTGACACAGTTCCATATATGGCAAGCACTTAAAAATGGTCTGTTGAAACCATAGGAAACTTCATTCCAACATGTTTAAACAATTTCACACTTTTAAAGCAAATGTAAACATCCAGGTACTTGTAGCTTCCTGTTTCTCCCCATGAAGTCTGAATTCATAAAGTCTGAAGCACTTATAAAACAGACTTAGGATTATTAAAAAACTAATATGTGCAAAACCAGACTTAGAAAAAACAAAAGTTTTCTTGAAAAGCTAAAGGTGGTGGCAGTAAAGATTCAAAGGTTGAAAATGAAGTCAAGTACATACCTACAAAGATAACAGCCAAGTGTAGTACAGAGAAGCAGTGTGCGCCAGATAGGGACAGATAAAGAAATCAACAAGAGGAGAAGGCAGGCCCTGAGTCGACAGGCTCAAAATGTTAGACTGGAGTTTAGGATGTGTAAGATTTGACACTGAAAGTAATCAAAAGTCCATAAAGGAACACGATTCAAAAGCCAACTACCATGTATCATTTAAAATAGATCAGTCGTTTCTAATGTAATTAATATAAGAAAGAAATCACTGTTATTTCCCATAATTTATCTTATAGTACATACCTCTAGCATATAGTCTCATGCTTTCCATGTAAGTTGCAAGATTTTCAGCTACCAAAGTAACTAGGGCATGATTGTGCTGGAGTTGATTGATTAAATCATGGCGATAAAATACATGGGGACTTCGCTGAGTTTGACTGAAACGAGAAGAACTTCACAATATAATTAGGCAATTAAACTCTGTTGTGTTCAAGAGTTTACACATCTAAATTTTTAGCTAGTAATTAAAAACCTTTAAAAATTATACTTTTGACGATTTACTTCCTTTAATAGAAATATTAAGCAATTTAAAAGAAAGCAATGCCTCAAAAAATAAAAATTATTCTAATTTAACTAAAAAACATGCATCAGTATTCTCTACCTTCACCCCACAGGGAGTCTAGTTCAATGACTGATTTCTAGTACCATACTACAATAGTACCAAAGTATATGCGTCTGGTTTCATGATTATTTCAGAATTATAAAAACAGAAACATTCCTTCCAAGACTATCATTGTAACTGCTAGTGACGAATTTAACCAAAGAAATATTTTCATAAAAATTTTGTTTATTACTCACTCAAGGTACATACTAGGATACTCGGTTTGTGGCCAAGACATTTTCTGGTGACACTCGTTGGCAAACTTGGCCATAGGCAACCAGTCAACTTTCATAGCCATTATTATTCATCTAGTGAAGATAACTACCGGTCCTTTGAAGAGTTGGGAACTACTGTCTATGTACATGTACAACTATATATGTGGTGGGCCAAACATTTGAAGTACGTTCTTCAAATAAAATATTACTATTAGTAAGATAAGTGTCTGAATTCTTCCCACTAATTTATACCTCTAGCTTTTCTAATTTCCTATTATTTTTTTCCAGATTGAAGGGGGAAAAAATGAGACAAAGTTCACCTGCTAACATATATATGACCTTTTCTATTTAGGCATAATCATAGTAATTCAGAGTTGAATTACATGGAAATGATCTTGCCAATCATTTAACCCCCCCCCCATCCCCCAGCAGTATTGGGGATTAAACCCAGGGGCAATTTACCCCTCAAGCAACTGAGCAACATCCCTAAGTCCTTTTTATTTTGAGATGGTCTAGCTAAGTTGCCAAGGCTGGCTTCAAACATGTGATCTTCTTTCCTTAGCCTTCTGAATGGCTGTGATTATAGGTGTGCACCATCTTTTTTTTTTTTTTTTTGGAGGCGGGGGGGGGGGGACCAGGGATTTAACCCAGAGCACTTTTACCACTGAGCCACATTCTCAACACTTTTTATTTTTGAGATAGTGTCTCAGTAAATTGTTTAGGGTCTTGCTAAATTGCTAAGTATGGCCTCAAACTTGCAGTCCCTCCTACCCGAGTCTCCCCAGTTGCTGGGATTACAATTGTGCACCAGCATGCCCCACTCCATTATTTCATGTTGTACAAAAAAGAAAAAAAAAATAGATCCTTTAGAGAATGTTCATAAGCTTAAATGACTGGTTTGACACAAGGTTCACATTCCATTGTGAATATTCCTTACACTAAGCTCTTTCTGTCCATATTATTTTTCTTTTAATATTATCAGTTCCAATTCTATTATCAGAAAATTTAAAGACAAATCATTACAGTAAGCTACTAAAAGGAAACTTCACTAAAATAAAAATTTTAGATCATATTTTGTTATCTTCCATTATTTAAATGTCCATGAAGTCTAATGTTTGAAATTGACTTTAAAAATTTACTAAAAAAGAAAAAGGTTTTACATTGAAAACTATTCGGTAGTAGTATGGTGATTCAAACAATGAATGCAAGAAAGATAAAATCAAATGAAGAATGAGATCAACAGACACAATACATGCCATAAAACTGTCTGGCCTACTTGCTGGAAATAAAATACCTCTGAATAGAGAACCACAAGGCAATATTATCAGCTTGATTCTGACATTTATCCATTAATTGTGCCTTACACTTTCTCATCAATAAAAAAAGAAGGCAGATATGACAAACTAAGCCTCCTCTTAGTTTAGGTCGCCACACTAAAATTTTAAAATCTGTTTTTTACCATTTGTTATGCTATTTCTATTCAACAAAATACATACATAAAAATATAGTAAAATTGGCTAGGTTTAAAAGTCTTACCTCAAATTTTGAGGTGCTTCACCAAACAAACTACAAATTTCTCTAATTTGTTTCAGTGCGGGAATAACCCATTTGTCATTTGTGCGAAGTTCTTCTATAAAGCGATCTATCCACTGGATCTTTTGTGTGTCACGGTCCTTAAACAAACAATTTCAATGTTTTATATAGAACTATAATTGGAAGAATTCTACCTTCACACTTAAGAGAATTATAAAAGTTTTTCTCGTCTGATTAGCATTACAATTATGCTGTAATTGTAGTAAAGAGTTTAATGTTTTTTGAAAAACTATGTTTTAATTTCACATTTACTACCAAAACTCCAAAAAAGTAAAGCACTATTAAACAAATGTGGTATAATATATGTTTGCCAGAAGGTATTGCCTCTTATCCAGTGTTTTGAGATTTTGCCATATCACAGGATTGAAGATTAACATATAATACCCTAAATGAAATGTTGTACTATTGAGGAAATTATATCAATTTTTTCTTACTTCTCCTATGAGCAAAGAGAACCTAATTTCTCTTAATTCTGAAGACCCTAATCAGCATGTCTTATGATCTATTTGAAACTGGTATTTCTGCATTGTACATTTAATAATACTACCATTAAATAGTCTTTTGTTTGTACTATCTTTCTCCCAAGGAGAATCAGATGATTCACAAAACCTTGATGTAAATACCTAAGTTAAAAAAAAAAAAAAAAGGCAGACTTATTCAAACAAAGTCAATTCCTGAAGATAATTTGAAAAATAACAATGTTAGAATAACCTGGAACTGTTCTACAGCTAAGCTATTCTAACTGTGAAAGAGAAGGCCACAAAAATTGAGAAAAGCAGCACATCCTTACCTGGGAGCAACTATAATCCAATATTTTTATGTGGGCACTGAGGGCCAGGTCCATGATATCTACAGGCACATCATCACTGTGGGCCAGATTCCAGAGAAGGTTCAACACTTTGTGTGCCATCACACCATCTTTATCATCTTCTGCAAGACGTCGAATCAGCTCAAGCAGCTTTTCGCGTTGCTTTTTACTAGCATTCGTCCAACTGGCCTAGAAAAATAATTTCAGTGACGTGAAAACAACCTCTATTTGGTTGCTGCTTCTTTAATGCACTGTTATCAAGTTAACTGAATTCAATTCATTAGGGAAAAAAAAAAACATAGATGAGCACAGAATTATGTAAGTGATAATATGAAAGACGACAATAGTATTCATGGAGCAGAGTCAAATTCCAGGAAAATAGAAAAAAGTTTCCTTTTAGAGTTAAACATCTTACCTTGGGTTTCCTAACTTCAGTATTACTGTCATTTTGAGCAGGAAACTTCTTTGTTGTAGACACTGTCCTATGAGTAGCAACCCCCACCCTCCTGTGATAACTATTTCCACACTGTGTGCGTGTGTGTGTGTGTGTGTGTGTGTGTCTCTCTAGTGGTGGGGGGCGGATAGTCTGTTGAGAATTAAGATTTGACCCTCTACCTGTGACTTTATAGAAGAGAGCAAAGACAAATTCATATATCAACATTTTCATAATGAATGCAAAAAGGTGATAGAACAATCTGCATTACATGTTTGAAAACAAAAGAGTCTGTGACAAAGTCTAAATTATTCACAAAGAAAAATATCACACAGGCTGAGGTTGTAGCTCATTGGTAAAGTGCTTGCCTCACATGTGTGAGGCACTGGGTTCGATCCTCAGCACCACATAAAAATAAAGATACTGTGTGTTCATCTACAACTAAATAAATATTAAAAAAGAAGAAGGGCTGGGGATGTGGCTCAAGTAGTGGCATGCTCACCTAGCATGTGTGAGGCACTGAGTTCGATTCTCAGCACCACATAAAAATAAAAAATAAAGATATTGTTTGTCTACCTAAAATTAATAAATAAGAAAATTTTAAAAAAGAAGAGAAAAATATCACACTAGGATCCTGACTCAAACATACTTCTAAAATCAAGTATAACATGAGACACCTGTAAGATTTTACACTGCTTGATGATGTAAAGAAATTGTTATTTCTTTTGGTGATAATGGCATTGTAAGTATTCATGTGCTCTTTTGGATGAGGCTTTAATTTACAACTTTAACATCCTTAGGATTCATCTGGGAAATCTGCTTACATACATACATACTGCCAGGCTTCATACCTAGTGATATATATATCTATCACTATCTACTGTTATGTGCTGCTGAGGATTGAGCCCAGAGCCTCACACATGTTATACAAGTACTCTACCACTGAGCTACATTCCCAGCCCTATTTTGTATTTCACTTAGAGACAGGTCTCATGGAGTTGCTTACAGCCTCACTTTTGTTGAGGCTGGCTTTGAACTCGTGATCCTCCTGTCTCAGCCTCCTGAGCCTCTGGGATTACAGGGGTGCACCACCTCACTCGGACAGGTCTTCTATTCCACAAATTCACTAAGCACTTGGGATTTTACAAACCAAACCCTACCAACTGATGAGAGACTATTACACAACATGGCCTTAAAACGCACAAGATGGCACTGATGCAAATATGATTATAGGGGTGTTGGGTTACCTTAAGAATTCTATTTCCATTTAGTCACATGCAGCTTGGGCATTTGTCCTCAGGACCATGGTATTTGCATACCCTTCCTTTCTACTGTAATCAACCTTCCTGTAGCTCTATAGTTTGCTTAAGCCTATTACCAAAATATACACCATGAGGGGAGGACAACCCAAAATAATAACCTGAGTTTTAAAAAGAATGACATTCCTTATTTATAAGTTATGATTACCATTGCAAAACATGAAGTCCTCATTGGAAAAGAAAACAGTGGCAAAGTCCTTCACACCAGAGACAGTTTAATGAGATTTCTATGAAAGTATTTTTATTTAAGAACAACATATCAATCTAATGAATAAATTCTATTTAAAATAAAGTGGTAATATGTTAACAATTACCTTAAAGCAATCAAAAAGATGATCAAGTTGTTCAGGAGAAAAATCCCATGCTAATTTTGCCAATAGATCATGTACATTCTTTACAATGGCTTCATGTTTCCCCGCCTAGTAAGAAATAAAACCACAAGCATATTAAAATGTGAACAATAGAAAAATAGTATGAACTGCTGGTAACTATCAAGTTATTCCATCTCCTTCATTTAATTGTGTTATGTAAAATTCCTAACATAAATGCTTTAGGTCTAAAATCTGGCAATTCAATTTCTGAATACACACAGTTAACGTGTACTTTGACAATTACAGTTTACTGAATTTAACATACCAATTATAATATTGTAAATAGGAAAAAATAAGGCACATTAATGATACTATTCGAAAATCAGAACCTAAAATAATCAAAAGCAAAACTACTCTGTTGATTTCTACAGACTTAAGAAAACCCAAAGCTTTGTCATCTAACACTCAACAATGCTTCCAAAGTGACTTACAAATAAAAATCTATCATTAAGATAATTGAAGGATTTATGCATTTTTACATCTCTGAAACTTTCCAATTCTCCTGATAAATTATAAGACCTTAGGAATAATCACTACAGGTCTTTGTAAATAATTGAATGATATAACTATCTTGATATTGGAAGTTTTCCCGCCCCCTTCTAAATCTACAAAGTAATCAGAGTTGTCTTATGCTCTTCCAGATAATGTTATTACTTTACTATTTGCATCTTATTTAAAACCACCTACAAAATGCCAAACTTTACCAAATACAAATTGATAGAATATTTTACATTTTAAAATATTAATGGCTATTAAAAGTTTTCTAGAAAGATTTCTGTAGGAACTATTTAAATGTACAAAAAGTCACATAACACAAGCCTGTGTCCCATTCATGACTGCTATATTTGAGATTTTAAGCAACTTCTTTCAGAAATAATAACCCCCACCCTAAATTTCCTTACCTGTGCTGCCCAGATATTATCAAGATCTTGCAAGGTCAGAGCTTTTTCTTTGATGACAAAACGAAGAATCTTCTCTAGCTTCTCTACATACTGTGGTTGATGAAGACTATCTCGCAAGACTATGGATAAAATATTGTTCTGCTGTATCCATTCCTAAATAAATTTAAAAATGTGCTTCAAAAGCAGAAACTACAAAATGCAGGCTTTATTTTTTTTTAAGAAGTTTTATTTTCATCTTGGGTGAAAAGGCACTCTTTATATATTTTTTACTTTATAAACTGATTACCATGTGCCAGACATGGCACCTGCTTATCGATCAGGTCTGTCATATTCTAAATGAACCTAGTGAGGGGATATATTACCCTATTACAGAAAAGTAAAAGGGTATGCAGGTGGCTCGAATTAGAATCTGAATCAAGTCTGCCCCTTCCACTGTCTGTTCCAGTAGCATTATGCTAGGTTGCTTCATTGACATTCTATTTAAAAATCCAGCATCCATAGCAATGAAGGACCAGGTCATGATTTAAAAAAAAAGGTAGTAATCTACAACGCATGGCTTTACAGTATTCAGCTGACTGAAAATAAGTAGTAGTCAGGCCCAAAATGTGCTATAGAACTACACTTCTCAGCTGTTAAAGGGCTGTTAAAACAATTTTTAACCCATTATAGATATTTTCCTAAACTACAGTAAAAATGTGACTAGGTTAAATTACCACTAAAGTTTCTATACATTCAATGCTATTTTCTGTGCCAGACATGGCACCTGCTTTCCCAAGGCTGAGAGGGACATCACATGCACAAACAGACATCCATCTATCAAAACACCTCCCAATTTTAGGGTTTACTTTAGAAAGTTCCTATTACTAATTTTATCTTAAGTGGATTCTTGTTTATTAAAAAAAGAATCATGCTTGGTCTGGTGGCAAATACCTTTAATTCCAGCAATCTGGAAGGCTAAGGCAAGAAGAGAACAACAAATTCAAGGCCAGCCTAAGTAAATTATTGAGACTCAAAATAATTTTTAGAAAGGGCTGTGGATATAATGCAGTGGTTGAGTTCTTGCTCAGCACATGTTGAGGCCCTGTGTTCAATCTCAGCACCGAACACACAAAAGAACAAGACTTACCGCCATTCGTTCAGCTGTGAGCCACTCTTCCTCCTCAGGATTACCATGCCGATGCGTATAGTATGACACACTAGATATCACCTTGTTGACTTCATTCAGTGCATTCATCTTTCCATTGAAAGAAGAAATTTGCAATAATCTGTAGGAGAAATTCAGCGATAAGTATGATTCTCAAAATTCACACACATGATTACTTCAAGAGATAAATAACTTACCTAAGTATCATTTTTAATCTAAATATTTCTAAGTTTTTTACAGTTTCTTCTTGTCCTGGAACCCTTGAAGCTAAATTCTTCAAAGATTTAATAATCATTGAAAGGGCATCATTTTTGGCTTCGTTCTTTGCTTCCTTTTTCAGTTCTTCATCAGTTAAGTTTTCTAAAAACTGTGGAACCATTTCTATTATTGGAAGAAAGTACTTTTTCACTGTATGAAGAGTAAGAAACTCATAGCATTGTCCAAATGGTCTGAAATAAAAAAGACGAGACTCCTGTATTAATTCCTTATAATCTATTAAGATAAAATTCTAAGACTACGTATATAACATTTTTTAAAAATCCAAGTAACATAAGAAAAACCCACATTTGAACAACTCCATTTTTTAATCAAGCAATAAAAATACAATTTCTGCGTCACACTGAATATTCATCTTAAAATATAACTTACTTAATAAGGGCTGCAATTATTTGAACATTTAATGCTGATCCATTAATAAAACGATCATGCAGTATCTGGAACCCATTTAAAGTGCCAAATTTGTTGAGAAGATCCACTAGCCAACCCTGCAATACAATTAATGAAAAAAGTTAACTTCCTGCTTTTAGGGGGGAAAAACTACTACCTTGACTGATACATACTAGAAATAGTAAATTCAATAAAACAAAATTATGTCAAATCATCTTCGAAAAGACCTCAGAATACTGCATTTTTTTCCATCATCCCACTTGAGATATGAGCAACAGAAGTAGTAAGTACACTGAGACACAGCTCTTTACTCATACCATACAGCCAGCAACCAGGTATTAGAAGCCATGCTTCTATTTCAGCAATCTCAACATAAAAGAATGAGTATATTCTAAATATCTGCAAATGTTCTACATTAAAAGCATAAAGACTTCAAAATTTAATAAATCAAGAAAAAGCTACTTAGTAACGTAGTATAATAAATTCTGAATCCATTTCTTATTGTAATTGTGGATACTAAAAAGTTGCTATAAATATAATTATTTCAAAGCCTGAAAGCAAACTGGCCATTAAAAACTAATCCTTGGGGGCTGGGGTTGTGGCTCAGTAGTAGAGATCTTGCCTAGCATGTGTGAGGTACTGGGTTCGATTCTTAGCATCACATATAAATAAATGAATAAAATAAAAGTCCATCAATATCTAAAAAAATATTTAAAAACAAACAAATCCTTGATGTGCTAGGGATGTGGCATGGTGGTAGTGTACTTGCCTGCATGAGCAAGGCTCTGGTTTCTATCCCTAGGACCACAAAAAAACTAACACCAACTCAACATACCAATACCCCTGAGCCCCTGAGATTAATGATACCTGCAGTTCCTTTTGCTAAATTTTAAGAATGCATCTAGTCCTCCTCATCTTAGAAGCAGCACCATACAATAATAGTCTTTCATCCTCTTCTTTAAGGAACAGTGGTGACTCAACGTACAATGTAGCAGGGGCAGGCAATAGCTGTACAACTAAAACCATGTTTATATGTAAAAGCTTTTAACATATTAAAGGTTAAAGCACCTAAGACAACATTTTACATTTTGCCTTCCTCAAAGAAGCCACATTTTAGAAGCCTCTGAGGGAAAAACATGGAGGAAAAGAGGCACTCTATTGAGCCTTAAGGAAAAATAATTTCTACTTAGAAAAAAATTTCCAGGAAAAAGGGAAAATGATACCATAGCTTTTATTGTTCATGTGTGTTTTAAAGAGAAAATATGGTAGCTGATAGTTTTGATATTATTTTGGGATAATGTAAATCAACTACATTCTCCCCTAAGTCTACTAGCACATTTCCATCCAAGTTCATGTGGAGTTTTCCTTTTTATTTGGTCTTAAAATACTAATTCAAAACAATTAAAACTCTTAGTACTTAATTCATTAGACATTTTTGGGATTCGGTAAGTATAAGAAATTACATGCTCTTTTTTAAAACAAAATGTTTTAATTGTAGTTAGACACAATACCTTTATTTTATTTATTTTATGTAGTGCTGAGGATCAAATCCAATGCCTCACTTGTGCCAGGCAAACGCTCTACCACTGAACTACAACCTCAGTCTAGTACATGCTCTTCATGTAATATATTCTTATTTTTTCAGTAACAAGAATGAGACTATTGGACTGATATGCTAATGTTATAAAGATAGCGTGTGTGCTCACAGTAATGACTAGTTAAAATCTAATCTTTCCATATTTCTTCAGCTGCAATGTTTACATAATTAGGAATACTGAAGTGTACTTTAAACTGAAGTGTACTTAAGATAGCTTTAGCAACTGGAAACAAGAGCCCTCCTTATCTCAAAGTTCTCAACACTGACAAGGACAGACCACTCACCCTAAATAAAAATTCACATAGTCCATAATTCGTTATATTTTTAAAACACACACACACACACACACATATTTGGTTGTAGATGAACACACAGGATCTTTAATTTTATGTGGTGCTGAGGAATGAACCTACTGCCTCACACATGCAAGGCTTTACCACTGAGCTACAGCCCCAACCCTTGTTATATTCTTTAAATGTAGTTTTAACTACACTATTGCTTCAACCTATCAAGTTTCTACTATTTTTTTTTTTAAATCTTTACTTATTTTGCCACTACTGGCTCAGCATCCCAAAGCCCCAAATCCAAAATCTAAAACCTTTTGAGCAATAATGCACTTCAGATTTTCAAACCGGGGATCCAAAATTAAAAAACAAAAATCGCCACATGCAAACCTGAAATCTGAAACATTTGCAGGACAAGGATACTCATATTCAACCTATACCATGGCGGGGGCAGGTGGAGGGGCAGGTGGGTGGTGTCAGGGAGGGGGACGTTTACATTTCTTTCAGGTTCTTCTTTATATCACCGTACCTACATCCAACTAGGGACACAGTTAAAAAATTTTGCCCGATGTATCTTTCAATCAATTTTCAAAAAGTTGATAAGACATATTTAACAATGTGGAAAACATGAAATTTCTCTGACTGCAGTAGGAGGTAACTGAGCAGGTTTAACTCCACAGAATAGGTTTCTCCATGGTTTAGTACCCATAACTTTGGCTACATTCAAAAAGAGTTTATACTTTTAAAGACTTCAAAAGGCTAAGTACCCTGAGAGCTATTTAAGAACTAGACTTCAAGATACATCTAATAACTCTAAAAAAGAAAAAAGTACTAGCCATGTTAAATCAAGTTGTTCCTTGAGTCTTTTAAGACTTGCAGATCATTGATCCACTGAGAAAAAACATAAAATACAATTTAAAAATACAGGTATAGATAAAAATTGATTAAGACTGCAATTATTTTTATATTAATCTGATCTACTCAAGGAAAAATAAGCCATCTAGTGACAACAATATTAACTGAGAAGTATCAGAAAACATCTCAAGTTCAATATATTTTTAATGATTTCAGCTTCTAACAAAATAAACCAAGTACATGCCTTCAAATTTTTGTGGCTGATCAGAAAAATGAAAATTTTCCTAACAGTCACAATATTACAAACATCTCCCTAAATTCTAAAATAATATCATTGATAGTAATTAAAAGAAACATAATTTTTAAAAATTTACAGTAAGGGGATGGGGTTGTGGTTTAGCGGTAGAGCACTTGCCTGGCATGTGCAGGGCTCTGTATTCAATCCTTAGCACCACATAAATAAAACAAAGGTATTTTTTTTTTAATTTTTAAAAAAATTTACAGTAAAAAAGACCCACATTTGTAAAAAGCATATAATCTGTTTGCACTGATATGGGAAATTTACATTTATGTAAAGAAAAAAATATAAACCTGTGTATGTGTGTGTGTATAAGCATTTATAGGATAAACTCGATTTTGGAGTAAAACAATCTTAGAATGTAGAAAATGTTAAGAGCCTTATAGAGCAACACCTGAGGTTTTCAATACAATATCCTACTCTGTTCTTATTACAAAGGAAAAACAGTCTGTTTCATATTAACCCAAATTATGATTACTTCCATAGAAGCTGAGTAGAAAACAATGAGGACTAGTTACATAGAGAAAATTTTGAAAGATGGCCATAAGCACTGAACTAGAATGCTGTGGCTATGTAAAAAGGCTCCCAGTTTCACATGTTTTCATTTAAAGTCTCAAAGCAAATTTGACAGACTATATATTTCAACACAGAAAAACTTACCAGTAGTACAAAAAAGACAGAGCACAGCTTTGGTACAAAACAAAGAATTCAAAAGACGGAATAATGCAAAATCCCTCTAAGAGCAATGGGAAATAACTCTTTGCCATGTTAAGAGGTTCAGGTTACAAATTCTGTGGCAGACCAAAACAACTGTAATATTTAATTTTGGAAATAACAAACCCAACACACTTTTGGTGATCGAGGGTCTGGAGAACGAGCGAAGAGTTCATCTTCAGGCAACTGAACACTTGAGGAAACTGATTCGCATGGACGTGTACCATTGTAGATATGAAATTTGCAATGAGGATTTAAGGCCATGGCAAGAAGTTCTAGAAGTGGAAACCAGTCTTGGGACAACTTTGCTACACATAGCTCCACCAGGCGATGAGTATTGTTAATAATACATCTCTGTTATATGGGGGAAAGATGATTGAAAATATCAAAACACTGCACTTTTACACAAATACCTTATGCTCTTACTCTCCATTTTTCTATACTAGTCATCTGAATTATAGTTTGATTTCACTTGTATTAGGATCAAACTACCAGATGACAAATAGCATTTATTTACTTCATAATTTACAGGGTATCTACTTTGAAAAGCCATTTCCTATGAAATAGGTGCCCCAGGTTATCAATTCCTGCTCTACGTCCACACATAAGAGGTAAACTACCATTCTTTCCTCTTTGGAATTTGTATACCACCAGCAGCAATTCTCTCTTTTTTCCCCTTGATAGTGGGGACTGAATCCAGAGGTGCTCTACCACTATGCTACGGCACTTTTTATTTTTTGAGACAAGGTCTTGCCAAATTCCCAAGGCCGCAATGAAGTCAATGGCTCATTATTCTTTTGTTTAACTGCTGGGAATTGAACCTAGGGCCTCACACACTCTAAGCAAGGACTATACCACTGAGCTACATCCCAGCCCTTTTTATTTTGAGACAGGTCTCCTTATGTTGCCCAGGCTGGCTTTAAACTTGCCATCCTCCAGCCTCAGCTTCCCAAATAGCTGGGCTTATAGGAGTGTACGATGATGCCTGACTCAGAGGCAGCCATTCTAAAACTCTACATAATGTCAATTACCCAAGATGAAGATCTGTTATCCTCAATGACACAATTTCTAGTTAAATCAGAAGATGTTAGAATTTCTATGCCATAGTCATAGTAGGGAAATAGTTCACAGATGACAAAAAATATCATCTGCTTTATAATCTATGACATTTCCATAGCCAAATAAGGAACAGACTTGGGGTAATTACAATATTTCATCAGTCTAAGATATATCTTGTTTTATTTTTTTAGAGATCTTTAGAATCTCCATCTTATAATCATTGATTAATGAGGTGTTTGAGGATGATTTGTTTGCCTTTGCTAGTTATAGAGAACACCACCAACATAAAACCATTTTAAATTCTCTACTTAATGTTTATATTTTAATATGACAACCGTAATTTGAATTCAGACTATGAGGCTGAGGATGTATCTCAGTGGCAGAGCACTAGCCTAGCAATGTATGAGGCCCCAAGTTCAATTCCTAGTACTGCCAAAATAAAAAAGTCTGTTGAATTCAGACTATAAAAAATAACAGCATACGATTTAATTCTTTTGGATGTCTTTTTTCCTCCCTCCACCAGGTGGCAAGATTGAAACACACATGCTTCTTTGCCATCCCCTTGAGTTCATCTCATTTACCTCTATGCTGTCCTCAACATGTTTTACATTCTTGGGTATTTTTCTTCCTTAATGGTACATAAAACAGTGATGCATCTTATAATTGATAACAACACATTTTCTTTTTGGTGTTACTGGGGATGGAACCCAGTAGTGCTTTACTACTAACCTATATCCCCAAACCCTTTTACTATTTTACTTTGACAGAGGGTCTCACACTAAGTTGCTTAAGGCCTTGCTAAGTTGCTGAGGCTGGGCTCAAACTTGTGATCCTCCTGCTTTAGCCTCCTGAGCTGCTGGGTTCAAAAGTGTGTACCATTGCACTTGGCTGACAACATTATATTTTTAATGAAATGTGGTAGCCTAAGGTCACAAAGCACTTGAGAACCCCACATTTTCTAATTCTAAACCTCAAGCTCATTCTAAATGACCATGCTGCCTTCAATAGGCAATAATAATAATATATTTTACAAAATTCTAAGTTTCATTTTTACTCTTTTTAAATTAACCAGCCAAATACATAACCAAATAAACCACACACACACCCCTGTACTTCCTTCCCAACCAAAAGGGGATCACGGGGCAAAATTATATAAGTCATATGCAACAACTTACATGTATTTCAAACTTCCATCCACTCACTGCTTCATCTGTAAGGATTTTAGTGAATGATATTGTTAGCCCATCTCGAAAAAATCGCTGACAGGCTTCACTTTTAACATCAAGGCCTAAAAGGTGGGGGGAGAGAAAATTAGAATGCAACATAATATTTATCTGGTTGTTTTACAATATTCAGTGATAAAAGGTTACAATTGGATCAAATAACTGTGAACCAACTGTGAATCAAATAACTTTTCTCTTTATAATCTGATTATCTCAGTAATTTACTACAGGAACATTAAAATTGATTAATACACATAGCTGTATTTCAAAAAATGAAGTTTTACTTCATTTAATCTTAATCTCCAATAACCTAAAAATTAAGTGCCTAGTGTTGTAATAGTTCTCCACTAAGAGAATTAAACTGCACATAAAGTAAACCAAACAACTGAAATGAAAGATAATTAACACTAAGCTTTTACTTCTAGACAACTGAATATAAACAAAATCCCTTTTTATTGGCTTCTAATGTATTTAACATTGAACCTTATTTTTCCAAGTGTTTTTCTTTTTTTGGAGGGGGGGAAATCACACCTGTTTTTTTTTTTTTTTTTTAAACCACATGTAAACAAGATAGTTTATTTTTAAAACACTATTAATGAAATGGCAATCTTTATTCAAATGACCATAGAAGATGTACTAGGTACAAAGACAAACACATTTCTTGATTCTGTCATTTTAGTAGATCAGTCAGAGGGCAAATGTAAATACTTTGTCAATTTACATAATGCATGTCCTGAGACTGGAAATGGCTCAGGATAAACACATACACAGTTAGCTATACCTGAAGTTCATACCATCACCTACAGAGTAATTAACAGTAAAATGTTATTTTGTGTATACTATTTCCCCATAATGGACAGGACTCTACATTATAAAGGTTTTTTCACCTTTGAGTGACAATCCCTTTATGAATCTAAGTAACAGATCTGTTCCTTAGAAATATAAACATTCATAAATTTTGTCTACTAGACAATTCATAAATACCCTTGAAGGCTGTCCAAAGATTATGAGCCTTGATCCTAAGCCACAGCACATCTTTATAACAGGAAAACAAGGTCTTCGGGAGATAAAGGGAAAAAATCTATCTAGTAGTATCCATCACAAAAAGCATAATATCAAAACTTACCTTTCTTACTAAGATCAATAGCAGCTTCTAAAAGCACTTCTAATTCCCCTTTCGGCAAAACAGGAACCACCCATCGAGGCCTAAGAATTTTTTTGAAATAAAAGATACTTATTGGCTGTGCACTAAAAAGGGCATTATAAATAAGTTAGTAATTATAATTACTCACCCTACCATGAATATATTAATACTAAAATAACATTAAAATATTAAAAACAGCAAGGTGGGCAGAAAATCTGCTTTGTTGGACTAAGCACCATCTGTTGTCTCTACAATTTTTGAAGGTATTGTAAAAATAAAAGCAATGAGGGAAGGAAACTAAATCATTCTAAAAAAAGGCAAAAAAGAGTCTTGAGATTCAGAATAGCAGAGACATTCTTCAACTTCCTCACTAAGAAGAAAATAATTAGGAGGCAAAGGACTAATTTAGGCCTCAATTCACCATAATTCATTCACTTCTTCTGAAGGGTAAGTGAGTTGTGGGTCCGCAGTCTCCATGTTTCCACAGAAGCCCTCTGCCCTGTTCTCTCTCTGCTCTCCAGAAGACCAGCCTTCTTCCATCCATCCCTTAATCTGCTTTAAGAGCTGGCTTCTTCAGAATCCCCAAATACTCCAACACTTTAAAAAAAGGCATTTCATTTCCAAACAATCCACGAAACAAATGTATATTACCTGTCATTATTTTGTTTACATTTTAAAACATCCTTTGTATTTTTCTTCCCTTAAGGACTGTTAATAGTAATTTTTGGTTGGATGTATGAAAGGGGAAGATAAAGAGAAATTTACCTGCATGATATAGTTACATGTTTAATAATATATGTTCAGGTATTTTTTTTTTTAAATGCAAAGGATTTCTATGTCTCCTGACATTTAATAGTGATTTATTTTCAAAAAGTGAAAATACAAGGGGGAAAAGTAAAGCAAGTGCCTATAATAGGGTTTCTGTGTTTTGGTTACACTCCCTTTTTATGGGGCTGGGGGGATGCATCACAACTTTCTGGCACTCATGTGTTGAACCCACAGCCCAGTGAAGATCATGCCCATGTGGATTTCCTTAATATGCTATTCTTTTATCCTTTTAAAATCTTTTTCTTGCCCTTCACAGAAGCTTAAAGCCTCACTTTTGAGGGCTCATAAAGGGCAGGCACTGATGAACTCAGTCTTCTCATGACCTGGGTTATCCCAGGGCCACTGAAAAATTATTAAAGTCATCCAACAACCAACATGCTTCATAAACCCTTGAAAACAAAGTACACAGTAGGGCTGGGGTTGTGGCTCAGTGGTAGAACACTAGCCTGGCTTGTGTGGGGCACTGGGTTTGATTCTCAGCACCACATAAAGAAATAAATATATAGTGTTCATCACAGCTAAAAATATTCTTTTCAAAAAAAAGGTGTATAGGTAGTTCTTCAAAAACATACTAGCTAGGGTGGTCATGGGTCTAAAATCTTTGATATTCTCATTCCCTTTATTAAGTCCACTTAAAACCATGTTTTACAAAGTACTTAGCAATGAGTAAGTGGAGACTCTGACGGTGGGCAGTGGGTACCTGTCATATTCTTCTTCACTCTTTTCTTGTCCACTACAACACACAATGCTGAGAAAGCTAACCAGCTTTCTCGTATGTTACAAACATTAAAAAACAAAACCAACTCACCTGTTGATCATATCATCCAACTTTGCCAAGTCAGTATGTGGAAATGCAGGTTCCTCATCTTCAACCTGTGGTGGGGCATCACCTTGACCTTGTTCATCTGGAGGAGTTGCCGGGGAATTTTCATTGGAAGAATCAGGCGACGAAGTCTTGATTAAAAATTAAATATTTCAGACTTAAGTTTCTATAATATATGTACAATATCCATTAATATAAACACCAACAGAGATTAGTATTATAAATATAAAAATTTTATAAAAATTACATACTTTTACTAAAAATATTACTGAAAGTTTACAATGTTAGAGGCGGCTTCTATGCTACTGTGTTTTAAAAATAATTTTACTTAATCCTCAACAGCCCAAGGAAGTATCTATTCTACTGTCATTTAATAGATAAGAAAACAAGCTCAGTTAAGGTCACACAGCTCAAACTGTTGTCAGGACTTGAATCCAGCTCTATTTTAAAGTTTGTGCTTTTACCCATAATTTATACTGCCTCTCTACTAATACTTTTTCATTATATGAACACTATCATGATACAGAAATTATGGTATAAATATGAGACCTATTATAGATTAAGAAGTTTGATTTTCGGGCTGGGGATGTGGTTCAAGCGGTAGCGCGCTCCCCTAGCATGCGCGCAGCCAGGGTTCGATCCTCAGCACCACATACAAAGATGTTGTGTCCGCCGAAAAACTAAAAAAAATAAATAAATATTAAAAATTCTCTCTTTCTCTTTAAAAAAAAAAAAAGACTCTTAAAAAAAAAGAAGTTTGATTTTCAACTTCCACTTTTTTTTTTTTTTAAAGGGGAAAAATGTGTTTTTCTGTGAATATGGAATTCTCAAACTATTATCAAACAATAATTAGTCAGGCACAGTGGTGAGCAGCTGTAATCCCAGCTACTCGGGATGCTGAGTAAATGAACTTTTATGACCTATATTTTACTTTTTTCTTTCTTTACTTCTTTCCTTCCTCCGCGTCCTTCCTGTGGTTCTAGAGATCCAACCCAGGGCCTCTTACATGTTAGCTACAAGAGCTACACCCCCAGCCCATGACCCTTATTCCTAAATTTAGAGAGTAGGTGTATTTCTCTTTCAAAATGAAATCAACCTAAATTCTAAAATGATTTTTACTCATACTTCTTGAATTTTCTACTCACTGTAGGTTGATGGGCCTTTCAGAAAGAGGGCTGGCACCTCTTTCACTATCATCAAAGTGCCTACCGAATAGTTACATAATAAACAAGAGTTGCATAAATAAATGCTGAGTCAGGTATACCACCTTAATATCTTTATTATGGTCTACTTACAAAGTTTATACATAAACTTATATGGCCTATTAGCGAGTGAAGGGTAAACTTTTACTGAAGATGTTCCGGAGAACACATCAGGTGCCGCAAAGCGACTCTCCAGGCACAGAATTCAAATGCTAGAAGACCAACAAAAATAACTTAAGTATATAACTTTAGAAGCCTGTTTCTTTTTTTGTTGTTGTTTGAAAAAGAAGAAAGAAATCTTTCCCCTGGTATATATGTGATATTTTAAATATATATGAAATACGTATATCTCACAGAAAATGTAAAGATAAAAATAAAAATGAAAACATCTGTTAATACCACACCAGATATGAACCTATCAATGATACTGCACTGTAATCTGTGGGCCAAAATAAAGCCTGTCTATATCTATGTATAAATTTTTAATAAAATTGGGATTATACCTGCTTATGTCTGTGCCCTTAAATTCAATACCTGAGTAGTAAATTTTTTAAATTAAGACTCTATAAAAAATTAATGGCCAGACAATATTACCATAAGGGACATTCACTATCTTGTAATTTTTGCTGCTAACAAATAAAGCTATAATTAATCTTTTTATGACAAATGTTGCATTTTTGCTTAGGATTGGATACTAGAAATATAATCACTAAACTGAGAGAATAAACAATTTCTTTTTATAACACTAACATATATGTTCCCAAATTCCATTCTAGCACCTTCACTGGCCATTAGATACATGGCACAGGAAAAACTTAATTCTGTCCAAGAAATATGACCATACACATCTGTATTTTATGTCTTAAAAGTGGGAACTGGAGAGGAAAAGGAATTTTTAAAGTTGGCACATTTGTTAGGGAGACACCTGACCTGCACATTTCTCTAAAATATCAGAGAAGGACAGAGAGAAAGCAGCTCTGTCCCATCAGACTACTGATAGAAGATCTAATCTGTCACAGTTGGACAGTAAGAACTTATCCCCAAATGACAAATATATTGTACAATAAAACACTTTTGCCTTAAAACATTTCACACAGATTCTACAAAACCAAATACCAACTATAAGCAGTATGTCTGTGACTCCCAAACAACTTCAACTCATTTATCTCTAGATGCTATTTGAGCTGCATATCACAAATCTTAGTGCTCACCTTATTCAGTTTTAAAACTCCCCAATATAAAAACTGTATATTAGGGAAAAAAAGCTGAAATCCATTACCTAAACTTCCATTTCAAGAAATGAGAAAAAGTACAGCAGACTGAAATCAAAAGAACAGAGATAAGGGTAAAAGCTTGGGGGGAGGGGTCAAAGCCCCACCAAAAGCTGGTTTTCTGAGATTTTTAATGAGATTGATAAACCCCTAGAAAAATCAGGAGAAAACACAAATTAACAGTATCAGAAATGAGTAAGAAAATACTACCATAAGCCCTAAGACACAAAAACATAATAAAAAGGATGAAAAGATATTATCAAAGTTGGTGGGGGCGCATAGCTAGCTCAATGGCAGAGCATGAGCAGGCCCTGGGTTTGATCTCCAGTGCATGTGCGTGCTCGAATGCACACCCATTATTATAAACAACCATACCTCAATAAATTTGACAATCTAGAATTGTCAAATTCTAGGTATGGTTGTTTATAATAATACAATACATACTCAAACAGCACTGTCTAAAGCAGTTGAGCTTTCTTATTACTGTGCAAGACCTGTTTACTTTTCTTTTAAAACAAAACTTATGATTATTTCACTAATCATTCAGAACATGCTTCATACCATATTAGTATCATATAATAGACATAACAATTTCAATGTCCTACCTGATTCTGTTGGAGGGGGGGCTGAGACTGTCCATCAGGAGCCTGGCCCTGGCTGTCATTCCCTCCGACTGGAGAGCCACGAGTCGTGGCTGTCATACTCGACACAGGGCAGATCTTTGCAATTTTGTCTGCTTATGTAGTTGTCTTGAGAAAAGAAATTATAGTCCACTTATACAAGATGAAGTACCAGCATTTGTCAGTCTTAAAAAGCTCCAATTCAAGAATAAACCATCTTGCAGAGACCATTGCATAACCTACAAGTAGAAGGGGAAAAAACTGTTTTAGCTATAAAAAACATGAATTAAACAACTGTTCAAATTTAGTACCACCAATAAATGAATCAGGTCAGGAGAAGGTGGCTATCTAAATGAAAGAGAAAAGTAAAAAGCTCAAGTTTCATACCACATTCAACTTAAACTGATAATGGCACATCAAAATATATTAAAAATAATAGCTTTAGTATGTAATATTTCAGTTTTCTTCTAAACCTGACTCCAAACATAGTAGCAAGGCACTTACTTAGTTGCCACTTGATTATTATGGAGTACCAAACTATCTGTCCTCAATTTGCCAATGCCTTAAATATACCACAAAAATGTGTGTAAGAGAAAGCAAAAACAAGATTTTTTAAAAACATTTCGGGAAAAACTGCACATCTAACACTTATCATTGATACTAGGAGATCATGATTGTTTTTAGTTTCTTTTGCAGTGCTGAGAACTGAACCAGGGGGGCCTCTCACATGCTAGGCAAGTGCTCTACCACTGTGCTCTACACCTCCATCCCTTAGAAGTAGTTTTAACATAAGCTTTTCATGCTTTGGGAAGAAAACTCCAAGAGTGTGCACATACAAAGGAAAGACTACATGAATGCAGCAAAAAGGAGACCATCTGCAAGCCAAGCAGAGACTTCAGAAAACATAAAATCTGACACCATGATCCTGGACTTCCAACCTAAAACAGCGGAATGCATTACAACTCTTATTACATATATAGAGCTCAATTTTTCATATCTCTGGTTGCCAACCTCCAGAATTTTAAGATAGCAAATTTCTGTTGATTAAGCCCACCCCACTCCCAAACCAAAAAAAAATAAAACAAAACAAAACAAAAACCACTCTTTGGGGGACTTCTTAGGAAAAGGCAAACTATTTCAATACAAGTGAACATCAAGTGACTTTAGGTCTACAACGTTGGCAAGGTTGAAACCACAGGGAGTCCTGAAGCCCTGCAGGGCTATAAACCACACCTCATTTTAAGGAAATCCTAATTTTAAGCAAATCTTTGCAACCTACCAAAAGTACACAGGAGAATACTACCAAATCCTCAATTGTATATTCATTAGACCAGTGAATTCCATATTTAGCTAAATAGTAAAATCACCTGAGGTATTTTAATAACACTGATGCCCAGGTTCCTCTCTAGATGGAATAAATCACACCATTTCTTTCCTGTGATTGATTTCACTGTGCCACTAGATGGAGAAACTTATTACTTGATTGATTATAAGTACTTGGTTAGAAGTAAGGTGACCACACCTCATATTTTTGCCCAGAACAGTCCATGTATGCCTAAAAATTGAAATATAATCACTTAACCCACAGTCAAGGTTCTAACTTACTGGCTATAAGAGATATTATGGTTTGAATGAGGTGTCCCCCAAAAGCTCTTGTGTAAATACAGGAATTTTCAGAGGCAAAATCATCAAATTACAAAAGATAACTAGTCTGAGTAGGCTGACTGGGTGGTAACTGTGGCATGGCTGGACAAGGTGGGTCACTGGGGGCATGCCCTGGAAAGGTGCATCTTCCCTGTGACCCGTCCCCTTTCTCTGCTTCCTAGACGCCAGGAATGAGTGGAGCATTGCTCCTCTGTGGCTCCCTTTGTCCATGCTGCTGCCTCACTTTGTGCCCAAAGCAACAGATCACTGGTCCATGGACTGAACCTCTAAAACTGAGGCAACATAACCTTTTCTTCCTCTAAGTTGTTCTTATCGGGTATTTTGGTTGCAATGATGAAAAAGCTAATACTGAGACTGAGAGAAATTAGACACAAACATTGCAAAGTTTCATTTCTATGTTTTCTAATCACAACCTTGCCAAGATACTCAAGACCAAATTTAAAACATGTATATAAAACATACCTAGGGCTCATCTGCTTTCGTAATATTAATACCCAAGTATTTATCACGAGGTACTTAGGTGTACGGAATGTCAGATCTATAAAGTGGTTTCCACCACATGTCCTACTATGCCTCACCGATTCTCACACCCAGTCTACGCAGTACAGAAAAGTGGGTATTATCATCATCCCCATTTTATGGAGTCAAAAATAAGATCTGCAAGGACTGGTCCACATTATGTAGAGCCAACTCTAATTCAGATCTGACTATATGACTTCTTCCACTTCAAGGTTTCTCTCATTTTTTTTTTTTTTTGAGAATTTTTAATATTTATTTTTTAGTTTTCGGCGGACACAACATCTTTGTTTGTATGTGGTGCTGAGGATCGAACCCGGGCAGCACGCATGCCAGGCAAGCGTGCTACCACTTGAGCCACATCCCCCGCCCGGTTTCTCTCATTTTCAAAACAAGCATATCTTATACCATACAAAAACAATGAATTGTAGGTAGGTTAATGGAAAATGTAAACAGGAAAACTATAAATTAGAGAACATGTTTAAAACTTATTTAAAAAACACACAGAAGTTCAATTTTAAGATACACCTTCCTCTAAGCAAAATTCAAAGACATCAGGGAGAAAATTGAGATTGGTTTCTGTAAAAATCAAAAGTAAGGGCTGGAGATGCAGTTAGAGGTAGAATGTTTGCCTAGGACACTGGATGCCCTGGATTTGATCCCAACACAGTAAAAAAAAGTAAAATATTTTATGCCAAAGATATTACAAAAAGGCAGTTAAAAAAAAAAAAGGATATAAAGTCTCAGAAATACAAGCAACCAATAAACACATGAAATAGACAACTTTAAAATAAACCTTTTCACATTACGCATTGTCTGAAGCACTTTAAACCTCACATGTATTTACAATAGGACCTATTCTCATCCCTCTATAGATGAGTAAAGAGTGGAAATAAGCTCCCTACAGCATTACTTAGTGGCAAAATAAATTTCCAACCCATTTTGCCACTAAGTAATTCTTAACTGCTACACTACCCTACGTTATCAACCTCATTAGCAATTGTGAAAAATGTCAGCTAACTCATAATCTCGCCCCCCTCCCCTTATTTCCCTTTGAGAAAAAGGAAAAAGTTGTTTTACTACAAAGGGGACTCCTGTCCCAGAGACTGTGATTCTGTCCATCAGGAGGAACAGAGGGTTAATTTCATTCATACATCTTTCTTTACTTCAAGTTTGTTGCAATATCTTCCTCTTGTCCCCCAATCTGTGTTCATTATTCCACTACATACACTTCTTCAGTGGGTGATACTAAGAGTTCCACATTGCTGGGCAGGTGTGTCAGGACTCAGCATACCACCATGCAATAATTTGATAACTTTCCCTCAGCATACTAGGTTGCAAGCTAAGGACCAAGAAGTAAGTATGCAACAATTAAAAATAATTCCTACATTTAACATAACTCTTGTTCAAAACCCTACCTACGACGCTTATAATCTGCCTATCTTAAATGCCAGTAACATCCTCTCTTTTTCTACCTCTTTAAAATTAAGACAGTTAATCACAAAAAAATGCCTTGAGAATTATAATGGTGTCTCACAAATACCAAGCACATAACAAAACTTTTAAAATATAATTTTCTTTTCCCTTCTAAAATGTACTTTGTAAGGTTTCTGAATATTTGGGGAGTGAATTTGAAAATGTTTTCAGAATCAATTTGGAAATTTTTGATGGGATATAAAAACTTTACCACAGATATTCTACAATTCTACTACCTTAAGAGGAAAATAGGGGCTGGGGATGTGGCTCAAGCGGTAGCGCGCTCGCCTGGCATGCGTGCAGCCCGGGTTCAATCCTCAGCACCACATACAAACAAAGATGTTGTGTCTGCCGAAAACTAAAAAATAAATATTAAAATTCTCTCTTTAGGTAGCTGTAGATGGTCAGAATGCCTTTATTTATTTTTTATGTGGTGCTGAGGATCAAACCCAGTGCCTCACACATGCTAGGCAAGTGCTCTGCCACTGAGCTATAGCCCCAGCCCACAATGTGAAATTTTACTGCATGAAGTTTAAAGAAAAAACCTCAATAAGCAGAAAGTATCTTAAATTTTCTGCAATACAAAGTAACAACCAAACCAGTAATATGAGACTGCATTTGGGATACACTGCATTTATTTCATATTCAAACTTAACACTCCAACCTTTTTGGGGGGAGGGGGGCTGGGGGGGGAAGGGTGGTGCTGAGCTACACTGAGCTATATTCCCCAGTCCTTTTTATTTTGAAACAGGATTTTTATTAAGTTGCTCATGCTAGCAATGATCTTGTGATCCTCCTACCTCAGGCTCCCAAGTTGCTGGAATTACAGAAATGCACCACCACACCAGGGTATAATGTCTTTCACATTGAGAAAAGCACCACCTTTACCTAGATAAGGTTGAGCCTAAAGTTGTTTTATGTTTTGTTTTTTTGAGGGGGAGGGGTTACCAGAGGTTGAGCCCATGGGCGCTAACCACTGAACAACATCTCCAGCCTTTTTTTATATTTTATTTAGAGACAGGGTCTCACTGAGCTGATACTCTTAACACATGGTAAATGACAAAACATTTTAAACTTTGTAGAACTGACTTCGCTAGCAACTTAAATAGGCCTACTTAAAATTTTAATGTAAAAATGTACAATAAATTGTTTCATCTTTGCTATAATCCAGTAAGACACATCTTTTAAGCACTAAACTTTCAAAATAACCATTTTACAGTACGAAAATATTTATTTTTAAGCCAAGAGTATTTACACCATTTTGAATTTTAGGTTTTTACTGCTATGAAAGATTCAATATGCTTTTAAAGGCAGTTTACATATTATCTTAAAGAAAAAGTATCCTATATAATAGTTTTTCCATACAAGAAAGGATATAAGGTATTGCAGGCTTGACACACAGAGAAATTGCCCAAACCCACTTTATGAAGCACAATACAAAATAAAAATAATGAGTTCACAATTAGCCTTCAATTTTTCAACTTTTCTCCCATTCCTCTATTTCAAAACTATTGCTACCAGGTTGACACACTTCAAATTTTAAATAAAATTTTCCTTATTAATAGTTAAAATTTGAGTGTTT